CCTACAGCAGGTTCTTGGTCTTGCACCTCCTCCTGCTTCCTTAGAGGGTCCACAGCCTGTTCGGTCACAGCCACAGCTACAGCCTGCCTCCCCTTTGCCTGCTCCTTCTCCCTACGCTGGTCCGACTGGAGGTCTTACTGAGCGTCGTGAGCCTGCGTCTCGTCCTGCGTCGCCTGTTCGTACTGAGCGCGCTAGTGGTCGCGGGTCGCGTCAGCGTCCTCCTCCTGTCCCTGGCACGCACCGGATGTCACTGCGTCCGTCCACTGCTCCTCTGCGTGCCCCTTTGCCTTCTCCTCCTGCTTCCTCTCTTCCTGCTCTTGCCGACCCGGAGTCGGACTCTCTTCGTGCTGCCAGTCCTACTGTCACGCGTCTCCTTGCTACTGCTGTCACTGACCCTTTCTTTGAGTCGTCTGCTGCGTCTGCCCTTGTCACTGAGCTTGTCGACTTTGCTGCGCGCTGTCGTCTAGACTATGCTGCTCGTCTTGTCGCTGCGTCTGAGTCCGCCTGTCCTCCGTCCGTCGGGGGTGAGTGTGCCCTTGGCACGGACGTCCTAGAGGACAGGCAGGAGGAGTTACAGTGTCTAGCGGCTGCTTCACCTCATCTCGCGTCTGTACTGCTTGCCCCTGAGGGAGACCCGGATGCACTAGACATCCCGACTCCGCGTTCTTACGCGGAGGCCGTAGAGGGTCCCTACTCCTCTCAGTGGCAGGCAGCTATGGATGCAGAGATGGCTTCCTGGAAGTCCACAGGCACCTACGTTGACGCGGTTCCCCCTCCTGGGGCGAACATCGTCAGTGGCATGTGGATCTTCAGGGTGAAGCGGCCGCCGGGCTCCCCGCCTGTCTTCAAGGCGCGTTACGTGGCTCGTGGCTTCAGTCAGCGGCAGGGGGTTGACTACTTTCAGACCTTCTCTCCCACCCCGAAGATGACCACTCTTCGGGTGCTGCTGCACATTGCCGCTCAGCGCGACTACGAGCTTCACTCCCTCGACTTCAGCACTGCGTTCCTGCAGGGTAGCCTGCACGAGGAGATCTGGCTGCGCCGTCCGCCTGGCTTCACTGGGACTTTCCCTCCTGGCACCCAGTGGAGCCTCCGACGGCCAGTCTACGGTCTCCGCCAGGCACCGCGTGAGTGGCACGACACACTGAGGACTACGCTTGCGGCTCTTGGGTTTGCTCCTTCTACTGCTGACCCATCGCTGTTTCTTCGCACCGACACTTCCCTGCCGCCGTTCTACATCCTCGTGTACGTCGACGACTTGGTCTTTGCCACAGCGGACACTGCTGGACTCGCCTACGTGAAGTCCGAGCTGCGAAGAGACACACGTGCACAGACCTGGGTGAACTGCGCAGCTACCTTGGCTTGCAGATCACTCGGGACAGAGCACGTCGCACCATTACCCTGACTCAGTCACACATGGTGCAGCAGGTCCTTCAGCGCTTCGGCTTCACGTACTCCTCGCCTCAGGCCACTCCTCTGCCTACTCGCCACTCACTCTCAGCTCTGCCTTCGGATGAGTCCGTAGAGTCGAGTGGTCCGTATGCAGAGCTTGTTGGCTGCCTCATGTACCTGATGACCTGCACACGACCTGACCTTGCATACCCTCTGAGCATTCTTGCACGCTATGTTGCTCCTGGGAGACACAGACCGGAGCACATGGCTGCAGCGAAGAGGGTATTGCGCTACCTGTGCAGTACGTCGGGCATGGGGCTAGTGCTTGGAGGGCGGAGTCCAGTGGTCCTTACCGGCCACGCGGACGCTTCTTGGGCTGACGACCAGGCTACGCAGCGGTCGTCACAGGGTTACACCTTCAGCCTTGGTTCCGGTTCTGTCTCGTGGCGGTCTACTCGCTCGTCTTCGATTCTTGGCTCCAGTTGTGAGGCTGAGATCTACGCCGGGGCCATGGCTGCACAGGAGCTTCGCTGGCTCACCTACCTGCTGACCGACCTTGGAGAGCCGCCTCGTTCTCCTCCAGTGCTGTACGTAGACAACAAGGCCATGCTGGCCTTGTGTCGAGAGCAGCGTTTGGAGCACAGAACGAAGCACATTGCTCTCCGCTACTTCCTTGCTCGTGAGCTGCAGGAGCGTGGTCAGTTGCGACTTGCTTACGTGGCCTCTGAGGCCAACACTGCTGATGTGTTCACCAAGGCACTTGCGCCTTGTGACCATCAGCGCTTTTGTACCCAGCTGGGTCTTGTACCTGTCTTGCCTCACTTGCTCTCTTCTTGACTTTACTTGTACTTTGTCATATATATACCTGCTCCTGCTTGTCTAGTTTTATATATATGTCTGTACTCCTGCATGTGAACTGGCCTCTGGCCCTGCTCTTGTGCTCGGACTGTGTGGTGACTTTGTGATCCATCCTGAGCTTGCTTTGCTTTGCTTTGCTTGACTGGTCTTGTGACCCCTTGTTCTCCCCCACTTTGCCTATGGGGGTGTGTCAGATTATTATAGCTGATGCATGTTTGTAGGCTATAGTGGGGTAGCACATATGGGGTACAGTTTGCTAGGTTTGTATTTGTACCCAACTCTGACTTAGTCAATTCATTCCTGTTCAGTTAGTTTCACAACTGCATCGCGCACAGGTAGGCGTTGTTACTGCGCGTTTCCTGCCTACTTTTTTAAAAAAAACCCGTGCTAATGTTACCATCTGCTGTCTTGCAGGGAGGCCTTGGCGGCCAAGGATGCTGCCGCCAAGCATCCTGACTTCAGCGTCGTGGACAAGGTGGTCCGCGCCGTGGCTGAGAACCTCGGTCGTTCCTGTGTTAACCACGCCCGGTTTCAAGAGCTTCAGGAGGTCATTTGCGAGACCCAGCTTGAAGTTCAAGGCATCAAGGACGTCAGGTGGTTGTCGCGTGGTGACGCCATCCAGCGCCTGGTGAAGGTTTTTCCTGCTGCAGTCATGGTGTTGCACGAAACAAACAAGAAGATGTATCACGTCGTCACGAGCTATAAGTTCCATTTCCTGTTGTTCTTCCTTTCTGACGTCTTGAAGGAGCTCAACCTGCTAAGCCTGAAGTTTCAGCGGCGTCAGGTAAGCAGTTTCCCGAGTTACACGTGGCCGGTTTTTTCATTTACAATCTCCTACTAACCATCCTGCTTGTGCACCCCCGTTTACAGGTTGAGGCAACCCATGTGCTGCCGATGGTCCACAACACGACCTTACTGCTGCGCACACGCTACCTCGACTGCGACGACGCGAAGTTTGGTCAGGGGGGAGACGCGTTGGGCCCGTTCCTCGACAAGCACGCATCTGGGGAGTTCCGCGAGGTCCTCGTTGCTGGCACTGCTTCCGACGGCACATCGGTCAGCCATCGATACCGACTGCACGAGGAGAAAATCAAGGGGCAGACGAGCGGTGTGGACCACCAAGCGTGTTTGGTGCTGGCGCGCGAGTTCATCACGACCCTGGTCGGCCGGCTCGACTACCGCCTCAAGGACCTGTCAAACCTCGACGGGGCGAAGCTGTTCAAGCAGAGATTCTATCCCAAGAACCAGGCAAAGCGTGAGCGACGGCTAGGCCAATGGCTCCAGTCTCTGCGCAACATGTTCAAGCGGAAGCCAGATGACCCTGACACTATACCAGGTGCGTTAAATGCCGGGAATGAGCTGTATGTTTAGCGTTGTCTCCACATGCTTGTCTAAACACTACATGTTCCCATGTTCCCATGTTCCCATGTGCACCCCAACCGCAGGCATCAACTGGGCGAGAGCGCAGCGAGAGCTTGTCACCTTCTCTACCATCCTGGCCACACACCAAGAGGATGTCGGGTGTGCGGAGAGCCTGAAACTCATGCTGTCCTCCCCCGACTGGGCGACGTGCTACCCGAACCTCGTCCACCTGTGGATGGCTGTCGCCGTGCTTCCGCTCAGTACCGTCGAGTGCGAGCACGGCTTCTCACGACAAAACATCATCAAGAGTTGGCTTCGCGGGAACCTGTGCGACGCGAAGCTGGGAGAGCTGATGGCTGTGTCGCTCCTTAACTACGACATGGAGTGGCCCGAGTTGCTGAGGAGGTGGAATGCTTCCAAGAAGCGAAGGCCTGCTAACGATGTGCTGATGGCGTCCGGGGAGAGACAGAGCAAGCGTGCGAGGAAGAGATCGGCCGCAGCTGCAGCAGCAACAGCTGCACTGGCAGCAGCAGAAGCAGCTGCTCGAGAAGCGGCCCTGGTAGCAGAAGCAGCAAGGATGGATGTTGAGAACCCGTGGCTTACCAGGAAAGAACGGGCCACAGTTCCCGTGGGGAGTGAGGATGGTAGTAGTGATAGCAATGAGGACTACGGCTCTAGTGAGTCTGACTAGGTCCTTAGCTACTGCCTAGGTTGTTTGATAGAATGAGTATAATTGCAGGTAGTGTTCTTGTGGGCTGACTTGGTTTTTTTTTTTCGTCTAGTTTATCAGACTAGGAAAAACATTTCATCTTATACTGCAGACCACACAAATTTCGTCGTCAAAGCCTAAGACGGGGAAAATTTTTTTGAGGGTTTTGTCAGACAGGCCCTAAACCTAGCGAGAACCCTGTTTGTACCCCATAAGACAAGCCTCACTACAGGCTACAACATTTGACATTGTAGTACCCTCTAATGTCACCTCTACATAGCCTACAACAAACACATACAAAACATATAAATATGGTACATGTTTTGACATACGCTACTACAATCGCCTGGTTTCTCTCAAGATCCTGTCCTCTTGACTGTGAACAACACGTCACCTGTGCTACTCTCAGTCAAGCCACAAAACCTGTCACAGTGGGCACAAGCAGCGGCTTCAACTCCTCATCTGCATGTCATCTCCTCTCCTGCTACATCATCTCTCTGGTGTGCCGGTCCACACATCTGCTCAAATATTATCGACCATCTTCCCTCTGTTTTTCCAAATGGCACCTGCGGCAGGTCAGGCTGATACTGCACCAACCATTGAGCTGCCATGCTGCTTGCCTCGTCCCACCAGAGGGGGGAATGGAGTAACTACCAGAGACAATGCTTCCTCGCTATAGTTACCTCACAAGCAGAGGCATTGCCAACTCCCCCGCTACAGCCACGACCACACACACAAGCACGTTGTCCCAATCGCCAGGCGCAACCGCTTCCACTGCTGCCGCACCTGCCGCTATCGCCAACGTGGCAGGCGCTGCTGTTGCCACGTGGACATGGCGCGGGGCGAAGTTGCCAAACGAATCAAAGAGCAGCAGCGATCCGAACCCAAACCCGAAGCTGCAGAGAAGCATCGCCGCGCTGCCAGGCCAGCTCTTGACTCCGGACCACGGAAGTTTCTGCGAAGGCGCGTTCCCGAACCGCCGACCCGCGAGTTCCGCAAATCCGTCTCCCGCGCAGAGCGCGTTGAGCGCGAGAAAGGCGGAGGGGGAGTGGCGCCAGAAGAGCACAGTGAAGGCGACGAAACACAGCCCATACATCACGGGCCCGCGCAGCATTTCCCTGCGATCGCCGCGCCGCGTGACGGAGTTAATAGCTGACTGATCCTTAACCATGCCTAGACCGACGAGTGTGAAGTGGAGGGTGATTAAGAGCGGGACGACGGCAGCGGCGAGGCGCGCGTAGGGCTGATTGGAGAAGAGGTTCCACGTCAGCATGAAGATGGGACCGGTGAAGATGTGGATGAGTTTACGGCTGAGATAGACGGAGATCAGACGGAGCGCGACGAGAGATTGGACGGAGAGCAGCCAGCCGAGGCAGATGACGAGCGTGATGCCCGCGGCTGCGGCGTCCTGCCACTCGTCGCTCGACACGAATCGCCGCAACCACATGGCCATGCGGCCGTGAGTGAATAAGAGCGGTTAGGATGAACGGCGGTGAAAACTAGACCCGATGCGCAGGAAAAGCGTTCTCACTACTTGCGGAGAGCCATTGGACAGCAACGGGTTAGCATACTTGTAGGACGAATAGGTGATTGAGGGAGGGACACTGCGTACTGTAATTCGCCGTCCTGCCATCCCTCGCTGTCGCCGTCCTGTAATTCAGACCAAGTGCGGTGTCGGGAAAGGAACGGGACGGGTCACGGGAACGAGAAAGAGGAGCTGCTAATGGCCTGATGACACGTAGGTGCTGTGGATAACCCTGTTGTCCAAGATCTGAAAAGGAGTGACTCACCTCACCACCGCCAGGGTGCCTGGTGGGTCATTTTGCGGTGCCTCATTCTGACGCCTTCAGCGAATTGCGAAAACAAGTTCTGCAAAGACTGGATTGTTAGTTCAACCGAAGAATAGGGTAGAGGTAGATAATGATTCAATAACGAGGCAGTCTGTGCTGGGATGTATTGTTCTCAGGTAGCCAACCTGACACAGTGCGCGTGAGTCTGGATCGCAAAGCAAAGCAAAGCAAGGGTCGCTCCTCCGTAGCCTAGATTCCGTCGCTGCCGATCTCCACCCGAACCGGCTCTCTGCTCGTGCCCTGGCTTCTTGGCCTGGCCTGCGTCTGCGAGCGCGTTACAATCGCGTTCGAAATTCGTTGCGATCATGATTCGCCGGGTCACACTCGCATCTCACCAGACCTAGTACTGTAACTTCTTCGAACGTGCCTCACCATAGCCCTAGTTTCGTAACAAGCAGCAGCATCTGCACCAACACTGGCCCAATCGACACCCAGTCGACAAATCTAGTGAGATTCATTTCCCCCGCTGACGCGCGAATCGGCGTCCTCCTCGGTCTCCCAGTTTCCCTCCGTTATAGGTGATTCTTTGCGAGAAACAGTTCCGACCGCGATCTCGCGAATTTGCGGCTCGAATCCGGGCGCGCGCGCAGCCACGAGCGCATTGCGCTGACAGGGGAAGCGGAAGGGCAGCACCGCCGAGAGTTCCGTCGGTGGGGGAAGAAGAACCGCGAGCGGAGCAGGGGAGTGGCAGCGGCGCAGTGCAAAGCCGCGGGGAAGGGCGGGGTGGCGGGATGTCGGGCAGCGGGGGATCTCTGAGCGGGTTAGGGGGAGGCGTGAGCAGCGGATTCGTGGCGGGGGGAAGGCGATGGGAGGATCTGCGGAAAGATGTGAGTCGCGCGGTTGCACAGTCGCACGCCGGTAGCACGGTCGCACGGTCGCGCTGTCGCACACATTACTCGGTAGCAGCCGTTGCCGTTCCCCCTTTTTAGGTAATGCACGTTGATACAGGATCCAACCATGGAATTGCTGACACGTGGTGGGTTGACATGCGCGCACTCGCACCTCCCCCCACCTCCCCCGCCACACTGCAGTGGCAGCGGGTGGAGAGCGAAGTGAATCACCCCCTACCAGCCTTTACTGGCGCTTCCCCCGCTCCCTCACCTCCCCAACCTCCCCCCCTCCCACCCTACCGCCCCCCCTGCAGGCGCGGCGAGTGGAGAGCGAGGTGGACCACCGCCTAGCCGCCTACTCCAAGCTCGGCGCCGCCTTCGCGCTCGCCTCCTCCTCCACCGCTGCTGGCTCGCTGCCCGACCCCTCCGAGGCGCAGGTGGGTTGGCGCCCTTGAGTGTACTTCCGCCACACCTTGCTGCTCCCCCACTCCGCCCCTCTGCTTCTCTGATCCCTTTCCCAGAGGCCCAAGCGGGTCTCCGTGCTTCTCTGCTGCCCTGCCCTCTCTCGCCCGCTCCTCCTCCGCCTCTGCTGCTTTACTTCCCAATTCCTGCCCAGCACACCCGTCGCCCTCCGCTGAGGCTCCAACTTTCCCTTCGCCTCCGCCGTCGCCTCCTCCTCTCCTCCCGCTCTCCCCCCTCTACTCTCCCCTATCCTCCCAACTTTCCCCCCACTCCTCCCTCCTCCCCTCGTCTCTCTCCATGCCAATGCGTTGTCCCCCTCCCCTCTCCTCCCCCCCCTTCGCAAGAGCGAGAGAGAGGCGCCTCTGCAGCAGCTTGCATCGCTCAACGATGCCATGGGCGGATCAGGAATCCCACCCACCCCACTGCATCCCTTCCCACCACTTTGAAAACCTTTTCCCCCTATCATCAGATCCGAGAGGGCGAGATAGAGGTGCTGCTGCAGCAGCTGGCTTCTCTTAACGACACCATGGGCGCACGTTTGTCTGTCCAACCCACTGCAAATCCCCCCCTGCCCTCCTCTCTTCCCCTCTTTCCCTCCTCTCTTCCCCTCCTTCCGTTGTTCATCATCAGATCCGCGAGGGCGAGACAGAGTAGAGCGTGCCAGATAAGAAGTGTCTCCTGCCTGCTGCCCGCCTCCCCCCCATCCCACCCTCCTCTCTCCCTTTCATGCTTGCCTGTGGTCAGATCCGAGAGGGCGAGATAGAGGCGCTGCTGCAGCAGCTGGCGTCGCTGAACGATGCCACGGGCGCTTTGGGAGTCCCACCCACCGCACTGCATCCCTCGCCACCCCTTTAAAATCCCATCCAGATCCGAGAGGGCGAGATAGAGGCGCTGCTGCAGCAGCTGGCGTCGCTGAACGATGCCACGGGCGCTTTGGGAGTCCCACCCACCGCACTGCATCCCTCGCACCCCTTTAAAATCCCATCCAGATCCGAGAGGGCGAGATAGAGGCGCTGCTGCAGCAGCTGGCGTCGCTGAACGACGCCATGGGCGCATGTGCTGCTGCGGGCGGGGCGGGAGGAGGCAGCTCAGAGCTGCAGGCGCACACTCTCACCCGCCACAACAACATTCTGCTGGAGTTCTCTAGGGTGGGTGGGAGAGTGCGGCCTTGTGTGTGTGAGTAAAGTTTGGGTGTGTGTGTGATTGTGGGTGAGAGTGTGTGTGACTGTGTGAGTGAGAGTGTTCGTGAGTGGGCTGGCGTCTGTAGTTTGGGTGAGCAGCTGGGAGCTGCAGACGCACTCTCAATTGCCACAACAGCATCTTTGCGGGGTTTGCAAGGGTGGGTGAGAGTGAGAGTATGGCACTCGTGGGAGTGTGTGTGCATGTTTGGACATGTTTCGGTTCCAGTGTGTGTGCGTGTTTGGACATGTTTCGGTTCCAGTGTGTGTGCGTGTTTGGACATGTTTCGGTTCCAGTGTGTGTGCGTGTTTGGACATGTTTCGGTTCCAGTGTGTGTGCGTGTTTGGACATGTTTCGGTTCCAGTGTGTGTGCGTGTTTGGACATGTTTCGGTTCCAGTGTGTGTGCGTGTTTGGACATGTTTCGGTTCCAGTGTGTGTGCGTGTTTGGACATGTTTCGGTTCCAGTGTGTGTGCGTGTTTGGACATGTTTCGGTTCCAGTGTGTGTGCGTGTTTGGACATGTTTCGGTTCCAGTGTGTGTGGGTGGATGCGTGTATGGACAGCAACTTGCATCTGCAGGCGCACACATGCACCCGCTCACACACTCACTCCCCACGGTAGCATGTTTTGGAAATTCTCGAGGCAGGCTTGGAGTGCGTGCCAGTGGGGGGGTGTGAGGACGCACATGTGTGAGTGTGTGTGATTCACAACCAACCACTCTCAACCCTTCCCCACATGTTAAATAGCGGCTTCTCTGGTCTCTTCTTCACGCCTTTGCATCTCTGACGCCTCGCATTCGACTGTGCTGGCAGGAGTTCGCCCGCACGCGGGCAGCAGTGACCACCAACCTGGAGCGAGCGCAGCTGCTGGGAGTGTTCGGCAAGGCGGGTGGCAGGGAGGGTGGCGGCGCGGGCAGCAGTGCGGGCGCGGAGGTGCTGTCTGAAACGGCCAGACTGCTCAATGAGCGCACCTCCATCCACTCCGCACTCTCTCAGGTGTGAACTACCTCTCTTCCCCACCTGCGCCCTCACTTCTTGTTCTCTGCACGACTCCCCCCTCACTCACTGCATACATGCATGCTACATGCATTCTACATCTTGTATACAGTGCATGTTTACTCGTTGTTGGCGCATACCTATTCAGCGCGTTCCAACACAGCGCGTTCCAACACAGCGCGTTCCAACACAGCGCGTTCCAACACAGCGCATGCCATCTTTCACACATGCTAACTCGGCATTTGCCCAATCGCTTCGTCTGTGCTATTTGCTGCCACCCGTTTCCCTGCTCCCGTCAGGCTGATGACGTCATCAAGCAAGCATACGCCACGTCATCATCTCTGGCACAGCAGCGCTCGCTCCTTGGAGGCACATTCTCTAAAGTCACACTCCTGGGCAACCGAATTCCAGGGGTAGGTTCCTGTGTTGATGCCTCTCTCCCACATGCTTCTAGTGAAGTGTCATGCCTACCCTGCTGCTGCCATGCCTACCCTGCTGCTGCCATGCCTACCCTGCTGCTGCCATGCCTACCCTGCTGCTGTCATGCCTACCCTGCTGCTGTCATGCCTACCCTGCTGCTGTCATGCCTACCCTGCTGTTATCATGCCTGTCCTGCTGCTCTCTTCCTGCTCCCTTTCCCTTTGTGCGTCACTCTCCTTGTCTCTTTTGCCTCTGTGTGCCATAGCAGCTCACATGAATGACATAGGCTGCTTCCTCCCCATTCTTTCTCACAGTATGCCTCCCATCTCCCATGCTGCCTCAACCCCACCATGCTCAACACCTCAATCACCAACTGGTGCTGCACCACAATCACCAACTGGTGCTGCACCACAATCACCAACTGGTGCTGCACCACAATCACCAACTGGTGCTGCACCACAATCACCAACTGGTGCTGCACCACCATAAGCTCATCCACATGCTCTTCTGCTTTTGTCTCCACCCTCCTTCCCTCCACCCCTCCACCCCTCCTCCCCTCTCCCCTCTCCCTGTACAGCTGAACACGCTTCTATCGGCCATCAGGAGGAAGAAGTCACGGGACTCGCTCATTCTTGCTGCCGTCATCGCCGCCTGCACACTCTTCCTCCTCGTCTACTGGCTCAACAAGTAGCTGCCGCCGTGCCATCGCATTCAACTCTCCTCAACCACAGCACAGCACCACCGTTTGGCTCAACATGTAGCTCCCGTGCCATCCCATCCACTTCTGGACCGGTCCGTCCGTGCCCACCACATCGCTTGCCACCAAGTAGTGTCCGCCCATTCCACCCGGCTGTCGTTCCCTCCTGTCGTGCTCACGATATTCCGCCCCTGAAGCTGCCTGGTAGTAATGTACCTTTCCGGGTCTTTCCCAATTTCCCATTTTCTTGATATCAAGTGCTTCTTAGTAGCCGATTATTGAGTTATTTTTCTTATTGACACAGTACTGCCGCTTTATTATAATTTGGGTTGCAGGGCACTGTTGCTGTGCTAGAAAGCAAACTCGTGTCAAACACTAAATCCGTAATGATATTAAGGGTTCTAGCTTGTCGAACTGCTGGGAGCGGGATGCAACATCGAGAGTTGCAAGTTGGGAGCTAACAGATGCTCGAGTGGAGGTAGGTTTAGCACTCGACATTGATGATCAGAATCTAGTTTCTCTTCTCTAGCTAGCTATGTATGATATGTACTAGTTAGTATTCGAGGCTCCGTGAAGCAACAGTATGGTTCTCAATCGCTCTTTATCGCGCGCCCGCTGCTTCGCAAACTGAGTCGACACCTTCATGCGGCAATCTCCAATTCGATCATGATTGCCGCCGTAATCACTCCTCGCTACTAGAGACACTAGTACAAGTCACTCGCGCCTGTCCTTACCCTGACGCGCCGCTTCCATTTCAACTGAACCCCCCGCCGCGCGCGTAGCGGCCAATGGCGATCGCGCGGAGCCACGTCGTGTCGCGCCCGGCGGCGGCGGCGCGGTACGGGTCGTCTCCGGACCTGCTGGCGGCGTCGCTGCAGCAGTCGTTCCGGTACGCGCGGCTGTGGACGGCGTTTCAGCAGTTCTTCGGCTTCTTCGCCTTCCTCCTCACGCTCTGGTTCGTCACCGCGCGCCCCTGGCACTCCGCCGACTCCCGCGCCGCAAACTCCGCCGCAAACGCCGGCGCGACCTCCCGTCTCGGCGGAAACTCCGGAAGCGGATTCACCGGCGGGAGCAGCGCCGGCGGCGGCGGCGGGAAACTAACAGGTCCCGCGGCGTACGTAGTGGTGGTGTGCGACGAGTCGCAGTTAAAGTCCGCCATGGTGCTCGTGCACTCGATCCGATCCACCAAGACGGAGCACGATATCGTCGTGCTCGCGCGCAACCTCTCCGGCACGCCGCGCCACATCTTCCGCGCGCTCGGCGCCACCGTCAACCCGCTTCCGCGCGGCGTCCCCGCGTCCGTGCTCGCGCTGCTCGACGACCCCTTCCGCCCCACCACTTCCGCCTCTCCCTACCTCAACCAATCCTTCGCGCGCGCCGCCGCGGACTCCGCGGAAAACCCCTTTTCCGCGAACCCCGCGGCGGAGTTCTCTCCGCCCTTCCCCCCAACGACCTTCGCGGACCCCTTTTCCTTCAGCTCCGTCTACTCCCCGCCGCCGCACCCCGCGGCGCTCGCGGAGTGCCTGCCGTTCAAATTCTCCATGTGGCTGCTGCGCCAATACTCTAAAGTTGTCTACCTCGACCCGCGCATGCTCGTCCTTGAGAACATTGACGACGTGCTGGCTCGGCCCGAGCCTACCGCAGCTCCGGACAACTCCCTGCCGGACCGGTTCAACCCGAGCCTGCTGGTGCTGGAGCCGAGCGTGGCGACGTACCGCCAGCTCGTCGCGGAATACGCCGCCATCGCATTCGGCGACGTGGACAGCGACAGTGACAGCGCGAGACGCACCCTCGCAGCAGGAGACCCCGACCAGGCGCAGACGCAGCAGGAGGGGCGGCAGGAGGGGCAGCCTCAGCAGCAGCAGCAGCAGTGGGGGTTGCAGCGGCGGCTGCGGCGGGGGCCGGTCCTCCCAGTGGGGTCGGAGGACCTGATCTTCTTCAACCACTTCTTCTCCGACTGGCCGCAGCTGGGCGCGAAGCACCACCTGGACTACGGGTGCAACGCGCCGTCGCGCCTGGGGTACTCCGCCACGTGGAACGAATGGGTGCACCCCAAGCTCAAGGTCGTGCGCTTCGCTGGCGGCTTCGAGCGCTGGGACGAGCTCACGGACAAGCTGTACCCGCCCACACGGCGGTATGATCATCTCAGGTGGGAGCTGCTCCGCGACATGTCGGGGCTGCTCGTGCAGCACGGCGTCATTGCGCCGGCGGACGCGCTGCCCAGCCCGCTGTGCCAGACGGACTTCATGCAGTATGCGCGCGGGGCGCCCGTGCCGAGAAAGCTGTCGGTGGTGATCCTCACGGGCGGGGACCTGACGACGCTGCAGACGCTCATATTCCACTTCGCCGCCATGCGCTTCGTGCACATGATCTACGTTATGGCCAAACCCAGCGAGGCTGTGGGAGGGGGGAGTGCTGCTGCTGGTGGTGGTGGTGTTGGGGGGGAGTCCTCAGGAGGATTCAACCTTGGTGGCAGCAGCGGAGGGAACACAGGGAGCAGCAGCAGTGGTGGCAGCGCGTGGGCGCAGGGGCACACGCAGAGCATCCTAGCGGCGGCCATCGAGTCGTGGAACGCCAGCAAGCCTGTCGAGCTGCTCCCGCCGCTGCGCCGCTACTCCATGTCGGCGCGCATGCGCCCCATCGCGTCCCTCCCGACGGACTGCGTGCTGATGTGCGACGACTCGGTGATGGTGGGCGCGTCCGTGCTGTCGTCCGCGTTCAAGTTCTGGCAGGAGCAGCCGCAGCGCCTGGTGGGGTTCTTCCCGTCCGCGCACTACCGCGACCCGCACACAAGCGAGCTGGTGTTCGTGGCGGACCCCCGCGAGGAGTACTCCATGGTGGGCGCAAGGCTGCTGCTGCTGCACGCCGACTACCTGCAGTCGTACACCTGCACGCTGCCTCAGGTGAGACCGTGATGGGGGTAGGAGGAGTGGGGGGAGAGGGAGGTGGGAGTAAAGAGGGAGGTGGGTGGGGAGAGAGGACGGGGGGGGGGGGGGAGGTGGGTTGCCTCATTGACCGCAGGAGTATTCGATGGTGCTGCTGCATCGAGACTACAGTTATTGCTGCTGCATCGAGACTACAGTTATTGCTGCTGCATCGAGACTACAGTTATTGCTGCTGCATCGAGACTACAGTTATTGCTGCTGCATCGAGACTACAGTTATTGCTGCTGCATCGAGACTACAGTTATTGCTGCTGCATCGAGACTACAGTTATTGCTGCTGCATCGAGACTACAGTTATTGCTGCTGCATCGAGACTACAGTTATTGCTGCTGCATGCAGACTATTTTCAGTCGTACATGACACGTGCACGCTGCCCCAGGTTAGGGGGGTGGGAGGAGTGTGGAGAGGGGAGGGTTGAGTGAGGGGGGGTTGAGAGAGGGAGGGGGGAGGGGTGGTTGGGGTGCCGCATAAAGCTCGAGATGAGTATTCGATGGGGGGGGCGCGGCTGTTGTTGCTGCATGCGGACTACCTGCAGTCGTACACATGCACGCTGCCCCAGGTACCAGGGAAGGGGATGGGGATGGGAGGTTTGGGGGGAAGAGGGGGGTGGGGGCAGCTAGCATGAAGGTTACACGTGCACGCTGCCCCAGGTAGGGAGGAGGGGGTTCCAGGGTGGTTGTGATGGGTTCAAGTCTTTGCGGCAGGCCCCAAGGTGGAATGAGTTGTGAATGGAAGGAGTGGAGTCCGCCTCGAGCACTTTGGTGCTCTATGATGGGCTGGATTTGGGGCACTTACTGTGTGGGGGAGGAAGGGGAGCGAGGGACCGGGGGTGTGAGAGAGGAAGGGAGGGAGAAGGTAGGTGCGTGGAAGGGAAGAGAGGGGGGGTTGTTTGCCGTTGCCCCCCTTTCCTCCCCCCTCCCCTGGGTCTTCCACTCCCCCCTCCCCTGGGTCTTCCACTCCCCCCTCCCCTGGGTCTTCCACTCCCCCCTCCCCTGGGTCTTCCACTCCCCCCTCCCCTGGGTCTTCCACTCCCCCCTCCCCTGGGTCTTCCACTCCCCCCTCCCCTGGGTCTTCCACTCCCCCCTCCCCTGGGTCTTCCACTCCCCCCTTCTGCTGCCATCACACGGCAGTCACTGCGTCACTACATCCAGATGCCCCCTCAGTGCGCCCTGTGCCTGCACCCTCACCTCTGCCGCTCTTCCCCCCACAAGCTTCCCCTGCCCCCTCACACGCCAGGCAGTGCGGGACCACATGGAGATGTCACCGCAGTGCGCCCACGCATCCTTCAACTTCCTCACCAGGCTTTCTTGCTCAACCAAAACGACCCTTTCCACGTACCCTCCCTTCCCCCCCCCTCTATGCACTCGTCACGCCAGCAAGTGCGCGACTACATCGAGATGTCCCCGCAGTGCGCCGACGCGGCTCTCAACTTCCTGGCCTCCGAGCTCACGGACGCGGCACCCTTACTCGTCGTGGACCCCGACAAGCGCGTCACGGAGGACCTCGCGTCGTCGTTCGAGGACCACACGCGCGTGGGGTCGGCGTGCCTGAATGATCTCGAGGCCTTCTTTGGCGACATGCCGCTGCGCAACTCCACTCTTGCCAAGTTCCACCTGGAGCAGGACACCTTCACCAAGATGCAGTTCAACAAGGCCGGGGGTGGGGGTGGGGGAGGGGGAGGGGGTGGGGGCGCAGGGGGAGGGGAGGGGGAGAAGGACGGGGGGCTGCAGTGGGAGGCGCTGTTTGACGCCACCAAGATGTCGTCCAGCGATGAGAACTTCCGCTTCATGCCCTCTCTCAGACGGGTAACTTCTGATTCATGCCCTCTCTCAGACGGGAAACGTCTGTTTCATGCAGACGGATAACTTCTGATTCATGCCCTCTCTCAGACGGGTAACGTCTGTTTCGTGCCCTCTCTCAGACGGGTAACTTCTGATTCATGCCCTCTCTCAGACGGGTAACTTCGAATTCATGCCCTCTCTCAGACGGTAACTTCGGATTCATGCCCTTTCTCTCTCAGACGGGTAACTTAATGCTTTGCACTTCAGAATCCGCAACCTACTCCACCACCCAGTGGCTGGCAGGCAGCTCTCTTTTCCTGCTCCCTCCCTTGACTTCCTCCCCTCAATGCATCGCTGCTCCGCACCCACCTCTTGCCCCCTTGTCAGTCCGTCTCACCTGTGGCACAACCTCCTTTCCTCTGGTTTCACATCTCGTCGTTCCCTCTCACTTGCGCCACACCACACTCACCCACATGCCATATTCACCCGCTGCTGCTTCTCTCTTCACCTCCAATGCTTCCTTCGTGCCCCTCTCCTCCCCCTCTCTCACCCCCCTCACCCCCTTCTTCCCCAGGTGACGAACATGCCAGAGGTGCACGTCTTCCCCTCGCCTCAGCACCCCAAGCAGATCCTCTGCATCCAGGGGAACCTCTCCACACCGCTTTGTTTCTCCGGGGGCGCGTGCAACAACTCGTTCGCCATCGCCACCTTCGATTCCATCCCACCGTCCGCGCTCATGCTGTTGGGCACGTCGCTGCTGCTGCACTCGCGCTACGGCTTTGACGACCGCTTCCACACACCCAACATCCTCGCCAACCTCTTCTACCCCTACCCCGACTACTCCTTCATGCGCCCCGCTCGTGCCTTCTTCTACCGCCGCGGCGGGCTCGACATGCGCCTGTCGCCCTGGTCGCGCCTGCTGTTCAAGGCCATTCTTGGGGCGCACATCGCGCCGTTCCGCGTGCGCAACGGCACGCGCCCCGTGTGCTTTGAGCGTGGGGTGATGACGCGGCGGTACCGGCCGGCAGCACAGGAGAGGAGCATCGTGCTGCAGGACGTGCAGGAGCGCGCCTGGGCCTACTGCTCCCTCGCCGCCTCCTCCATCCCTTCTCCCTCTGCTACCGACGCTGCTGCTGCCGCTGGGAACAGCACGGCAGGGGCGGGGGCGACCCAGCAGCATCCGATGGCGGGGGTGCCGCCAGGGCTGCGGGGGTTTGTGAGTTCCGACGCCCACACGATCCGTGTGCTGGTGCTGTATGGCGATGCGGACAGTGGGGGGTACGGCATGATGGAGAACCTACAGGCTGTGCTCAAGGGGCTGAGGGACCGCTGTCACAAGGCCACTGCGTGCGAGCTGGTGGCAATGAGGGAGGCTAACTTCACCAACTTCTGTGCGCAGGTGAGTCGATATGAGGAAGGGAAGGTAGGTGTGTAGGGGGTGGTGGGTGGGGGCTCATGGGCCTCAAGGGGTTGAATGGTGTGAAGGGGGTTAAGAAGCTTAAAGGGCTGAGGGACCGCTATTACAAGGCCACTGCATTCGAGCTGGTGGCTGTCAGGGAGGCCAACTTTTCAAAATCTTGTGCACAGGTGAGACGAGGACGTGGGGTAGGTGTTGGTGTTGAGAGATGAACTGAACAGAATGAGGATGACTACAACAGGGCATATAGGGTAGATAAATATAAGTGTTGTCCCCTGGTAACCTGACATAACCCAACCTAACTTAGCCTACAATATATGTAGCATATAATTTGACACACCCCCATGGGCTAGGTAAGAGGCATAAAGAAGAGTAAGAGAAACAACAACTCAGGGCGACACTACTAGTCCAACTTTCTGAGGCAAGCAGTCACAAGACCAGTCATCAAAAACAACACTGCATGTGATATGACTCAGGACGGTATGGGCGGCAGTCCAGTAGGGGCGGCATGGGTGGCAAGCTATTAAGGGCGGCACGAGCGGCAATCTAGCACGGGCGGTACGAGCGGCAGACTAGCCCGGGCGGCAGCCTTTTTTTTTTTTTTTTTTTGCAAAAATCCTATACCTGATGTATTCGCCAACTACTTCGCTACCGCACTAACAGCCAACAAGTGAGCAGGTCGTTGTCTCCCAGACGCAACAAAGCGAGACAGGACGCTGGGAGAGAAAACGAGGTCTGGGCGAGTGCAGGTCATCAAGTACACGAGACAACCCACCAACTCTGCGTATGGACCATTCGGGCACGCCATGGGCTGCGCGAGGCAGGCGTCGGGCAGGCGACGGTGCGCACTACAGGCAGCGGGATGGGTAAGCGACGGGCGCTGCGTGCGCGCTAGCGACCTAGGGCAGCGCGAGAGTGTCCTGCAGAAGAGGGGGGGGCGTACTAGGGCGCGTACGAGTGGGGTCCGCGGGGGCCACCGTAGAAGCAACAGGAGGGGCCCTCGGGGGCCCTCACGTTGACTTGGTGTCATGCGCATTTTCCGGCCCCCTGTGTTTTTGGGAGCGGAAAATGCGCATGACACCAAGTCAATGCTGAACAGTTGCCTTGACACCAAACTGTGATACGCCCTAAGGCGCGACGGGGCAGCCTAGTTGAGCCTTGAGCTAAGGGCGACAGGCGCGCTAGGGGCAACAGTCTGGCGCACTAGGGTAGGCGAAGAGGCTATGTAGGCGCGGCGGAATCGAACGGTTGTAACCTAGCTCTGATACCATGTCAAGAAATGAACTGAACGGAATGTAAATGACTAGCAACAGGGCATCAGAGTAATTAATTATGAAGTGTTGTACTCTCTAAGAAGTAACCTGACATAACCCAACCTAGCCTAGCCTACAATATCTGTAGCATATAGTTTGACATGGGGGAGTGCAGGGGTTAGGGGTTTAGGCTTAGCCTCACTCCTCACCCTCCTCTCCCTCTCCCACCCTGCCATCCCCTCCCTTGACCCTCTTCGCCCCCCTCCTTGTGCTGCCCTGCAAGTGCTTTGCATGGGAGCGGCGTCAGTGCTAGTGACAGTGCGCGACGGCACCGTGAGCCATGTCATGTGGATGCCTCCGCACTCTCACTACAACTCCTCATCTCCCTTCTCCCACCCCCTCCTTGCTCTCCCCATAGGTGCTATTCATGGCAGCGGCGTCCATGCTGGTGACAGTGAGTGGCAACGGCACCGTGCAAAACGTCATGTAAATGTCTCCGCACACACACTCCCCTTCCGCCCTTTCTCCTCTCCCTCTGTGCCTCCCCACCCCTCAACCCCACAGGTGCTATTCATGGGAGCGGCGTCCATGCTGGTGACAGTGAGTGGAGACGGCACCATGAACCATGTCATGTGGATGCGCCCCGGCAGTGCCGTGCTGGAGCTAGTGCCCTTCGGCATCCCTGAGTATGACCCACGCGTGCTCAGAGTCTACGAGGAAGCTTCTAGGTGAGATCCTCATGTGTTGGCTTAGGAGCCATGTGTGCTGGGTGGGACCTCAGGGGCCATGTGTGCTGGGTGGGACCTCAGGGGCCATGTGTGCTGGGTGGGACCTCAGGGGCCATGTGTGCTGGGTGGGACCTCAGGGGCCATGTGTGTTGGAGCTCGTGCCCTTTGGCATCCCCGAGTATGACCCGCGTGTGCTCAGAGTCTACGAGGAAGCTTCCATGTGAGAGGCGAGAGGCGCGTGCATGGGTGGGCGCATGCATGGGTGGGTGCGTGCATGGGTGGGTGTGTGCATGGGTGGGTGCGTGCATGGGTGGGTGCGTGCATGGGTGGGTGCGTGCATGGGTGGGTGCGTGCATGGGTGGGGGAATGCATGGGTGGGGGAATGCATGGGTGGGGGAATGCATGGGTGGGGGAATGCATGGATGGGGGAATGCATGGGTGGGGGAATGCATGGGTGGGGGAATGCATGGATGGGGGAATGCATGGGTGGGGGAATGCATGGATGGGGGAATGCATGGGTGGGGGAATGCATGGGTGGGGGAATGCATGGGTGGGGGAATGCATGGATGGGGGAATGCATGGGTGGGGGAATGCATGGGTGGGGGAATGCATGGGTGGGGGAATGCATGGATGGGGGAATGCATGGGTGGGGGAATGCATGGGTGGGGGAATGCATGGGTGGGGGAATGCATGGATGGGGGAATGCATGGGTGGGGGAATGCATGGATGGGGGAATGCATGGGTGGGGGAATGCATGGGTGGGGGAATGCATGGGTGGGGGAATGCATGGGTGGGGGAATGCATGGATGGGGGAATGCATGGGTGGGGGAATGCATGGGTGGGGGAATGCATGGGTGGGGGAATGCATGGATGGGGGAATGCATGGGTGGGGGAATGCATGGGTGGGGGAATGCATGGGTGGGGGAATGCATGGATGGGGGAATGCATGGGTGGGGGAATGCATGGATGGGGGAATGCATGGGTGGGGGAATGCATGGGTGGGGGAATGCATGGATGGGGGAATGCATGGGTGGGGGAATGCATGGGTGGGGGAATGCATGGGTGGGGGAATGCATGGGTGGGGGAATGCATGGGTGGGGGAATGCATGGGTGGGGGAATGCATGGATGGGGGAATGCATGGGTGGGGGAATGCATGGGTGGGGGAATGCATGGGTGGGGGAATGCATGGATGGGGGAATGCATGGGTGGGGGAATGCATGGATGGGGGAATGCATGGGTGGGGGAATGCATGGGTGGGGGAATGCATGGGTGGGGGAATGCATGGGTGGGGGAATGCATGGGTGGGGGAATGCATGGGTGGGGGAATGCATGGGTGGGGGAATGCATGGATGGGGGAATGCATGGGTGGGGGAATGCATGGGTGGGGGAATGCATGGGTGGGGGAATGTGCCCGGGCAGTGCGATGTTGGAGCTCGTGCCCTTTGGCATTTCCGAAGACGGCCTGCGTGTGCTGCGTCTCTATGAGGAGGCTTCCAGGTGAGCGGCACATGCATGGGCTGAGGGGCCATGTTGCTGTGGTGTACCTGCTGTGGTGTACCTGCTGTGGTGTACCTGCTGTGGTGTACCTGCTGTGGTGTACCTGCTGTGGTGTACCTGCTGTGGTGTACCTGCTGTGGTGTACCTGCTGTGGTGTACCTGCTGTGGTGTACCTGCTGTGTGCGCTGCCTGCACCGGGGACTGGACTTCATGCCCTTCGGCATTCCAGAGTATCCCCCCTTAAGAATATGCTCAGGGTGTACCAGGAGGCTAGCAGGTTAGGGCTGCTGCCGCTGCTGCTGCCGCCGCTGCTGCTGCCGCCGCTGCCGCTGCCGCTGCCGCTGCCGCATTGGACCCAATCCACGTGTGCCCTCCCCACCCCTTGCAAGCACATTCCCCTCCCTTGCAAGCACATTCCCCTCCCTTGCAAGCACAGCCGTGCCCTGTACAAGCACGTTCCTCATCCCCGCTCCTTCCACTCCATGTCACCCTCTGCCACCCTCAACCCTCCTTGCCACACGGCACGTGTGGCGTGTGCGGCAATGCACGAGCAGGTGGGTGAGGGTGGAGCACGACAAGGTGTTTGAGCTCATGGGCCCCGAATGCCCGCGCAAGAACGCGTCATGCCGCTTCATGTACCGCCGCCGTGCCATCGTGGCCAACGTGACAGCTGTCATGGCGTGGTTCGACGCCACGTACACGCGCATGCGCACCGAGGGGAAGGAGGGCACGCTGGGAGGCAGATACGGTGGAAGGATTTGATGTGATTAAATGTTATTACACTTGTGGCAGTTGGGCATACAGTTGCATATATTATTATTGCATTAGTGTGAAGTTATATGAGCTGTTTTGCAGATTTTGCAAAGTCAAGATTTTGCAGATGCCGTAAGCTGTATGGTATATCCTCTCTGATGAGCTGTTTTGTACGTAAGCTGTTCTGCACGTAAGCTAAGCACTTAGCTATGGTACAAATAGTCATAGCACTAGTAAACCCTAACTCTAAATGCACTGTAGACTGCCACGGCCTCACCACGCCCAGCCCTCCCACCTCACCGCACTCGCGGGCGTCATTCCCGAGGCGGGTTGCATTGCGCTGCCCCCCCCTCACTGCCGTCGATGCTCCGAGCGCATGTTTGGAGCTCGGAGGTCATCAGTCGCTACATGACGTTCTCTCTAAGTCCCGTCGTTGTCGCGTGGGCAGCTAGCCGTCTCGTCCGTCTGCTGCACACGACACGTCATTGTGAGATTATGAACGGCCATGATCGGTCGGGTCGGAGCGTTGGTCGCTCTGTCCGCATGCGGCGTGGCAGCGAACGGCGTGACGACATCAGCAGCGTGGCCCTGGCACGCGCGGAGCAGGCAGCGAGCCTGTAAATCGGCGCGGAGCGAGCGACGTCTCTGAACGGTGCCAGACCTGCTGAACGACGTCTTTCTCTGTGTCGCAAGTCCGCTCTGGGCTCTGAGCTGCTCTTTCCAACCACCTGCCCTTGCTGCTCCTTTCGCAAACCCGTACCCGCCCCTCCAGGTCTATCCTCGCCCCTCCAGGTCTATCCTCGCCCCTCCAGGTCTATCCTCGCCCCTCCAGGTCTATCCTCGCCCCTCCAGGTCTATCCTCGCCCCTCCAGGTCTATCCTCGCCCCTCCAGGTCTATCCTCGCCCCTCCAGGTCTATCCTCGCCCCTCCAGGTCTATCCTCGCCCCTCCAGGTCTATCCTCGCCCCTCCAGGTCTATCCTCGCCCCTCCAGGTCTATCCTCGCCCCTCCAGGTCTATCCTCGCCCCTCCAGGTCTATCCTCGCCCCTCCAGGTCTATCCTCGCCCCTCCAGGTCTATCCTCGCCCCTCCAGGTCTATCCTCGCCCCTCCAGGTCTATCCTCGCCCCTCCAGGTCTATCCTCGCCCCTCCAGGTCTATCCTCGCCCCTCCAGGTCTATCCTCGCCCCTCCAGGTCTATCCTCGCCCCTCCAGGTCTATCCTCGCCCCTCCAGGTCTATCCTCGCCCCTCCAGGTCTATCCTCGCCCCTCCAGGTCTATCCTCGCCCCTCCAGGTCTATCCTCGCCCCTCCAGGTCTATCCTCGCCCCTCCAGGTCTATCCTCGCCCCTCCAGGTCTATCCTCGCCCCTCCAGGTCTATCCTCGCCCCTCCAGGTCTATCCTCGCCCCTCCAGGTCTATCCTCGCCCCTCCAGGTCTATCCTCGCCCCTCCAGGTCTATCCTCGCCCCTCCAGGTCTATCCTCGCCCCTCCAGGTCTATCCTCGCCCCTCCAGGTCTATCCTCGCCCCTCCAGGTCTATCCTCGCCCCTCCAGGTCTATCCTCGCCCCTCCAGGTCTATCCTCGCCCCTCCAGGTCTATCCTCGCCCCTCCAGGTCTATCCTCGCCCCTCCAGGTCTATCCTCGCCCCTCCAGGTCTATCCTCGCCCCTCCAGGTCTATCCTCGCCCCTCCAGGTCTATCCTCGCCCCTCCAGGTCTATCCTCGCCCCTCCAGGTCTATCCTCGCCCCTCCAGGTCTATCCTCGCCCCTCCAGGTCTATCCTCGCCCCTCCAGGTCTATCCTCGCCCCTCCCGGTGTTCGCCGGCTCATTCAGGTCTATCCTCGCCCCTCCAGGTCTATCCTCGCCCCTCCAGGTCTATCACCTTCGCCCCTCCAGGTCTATCCTCGCCCCTCCAGGTCTATCCTCGCCCCTCCAGGTCTATCCTCGCCCCTCCGCCTCTAAGCTCGACCCTCCCCGCCCAAGGTCTATCCTCGCCCCTCCAGGTCTATCCTCGCCCCTCCAGGTCTATCCTCGCCCCTCCAGGTCTATCCTCGCCCCTCCAGGTCTATCCTCGCCCCTCCAGGTCTATCCTCGCCCCTCCAGGTCTATCCTCGCCCCTCCAGGTCTATCCTCGCCCCTCCAGGTCTATCCTCGCCCCTCCAGGTCTATCCTCGCCCCTCCAGGTCTATCCTCGCCCCTCCAGGTCTATCCTCGCCCCTCCAGGTCTATCCTCTCCCCCAAACTCTGCCTCTCCTCCTGTACTGTTGCCTGCCGATTTCTTTCCTTCCTTAACCCACCCGCCCCACTCGCTGCCTTCCCGCCCTTCCTCCTCCCCCCTACTAGTAGTACCACCACGGCCGCTGCTGCTGCGGGTCCTCCCTGCTGCTCCCTGCAAGACACGAGCTCCCTCACAGACTCCCCTCCCAACAACTAACGGGCTCTTTGAACGCCTCCCCGCAACTACGGGCTCTTTGAACGCCTCCCCGCAACTAACGGGCTCTTTGAACGCCTCCCCGCAACTAACGGGCTCTTTGAACGCCTCCCCGCAACTAACGGGCTCTTTGAACGCCTCCCCGCAACTAACGGGCTCTTTGAACGCCTCCCCGCAACTAACGGGCTCTTTGAACGCCTCCCCGCAACTAACGGGCTCTTTGAACGCCTCCCCGCAGCTAACGGGCTCTTTGAACGCCTCCCCGCAGCGCGATGGCGCGGATGGCTGCAGTGGCTGCGATGGTAATCGCGGTGCTGGTGGCTGTGGCGGGCGCCCTTGGGATTGCTTCTCTGCTCTTGCGGCGCACACCCGGCGCATGGCACAGCAGCTGCAAGCACACGGGGCAGGTACACACCTATGGTGGTCAGAAGTCCTGTCGCCCGTGAGTGCTCTGCTGATCACATGAGCCAGTTTGAGAACCGTATTTTCTTGTGTGCGCATGTTGATCGTGTTTCTCAGCAAGCCTTAATCGCCCAGTAGTGCATCCCGTTGTGAAAATAGCCTATGCCTGTGACACGTGTCATTGTATCATGTATGTGATACCCTGCATGCATGCATCCACGTGTGTGTTGTTTCCCAGCCCATTGGAGCTATAACGTGCCCTGATGCCATGTGTAATGATGCCACGTGTCATGATGCCACGTGCCTTGCTCAGCTGAATGCTCAAGGGATGCCCGCTCATGCCATGCTTCCGGCCTCCCTTCCCCCCGCCACTGCTCCTGAAACGCCTCGGCGTCTTCTGCCCCCTCTGGTGAGCCACTGGTATGGTCACAAGGCCCGCATTGCATTGCCCTGCATTACCCTGCACTGCAATGGGTGACGAGAGAAGGATTGCAATTAGGTTAGCGGTCTGCTTCTTGCAAGAGAGGCGCCAGAGCGAGAAGGTGTGAGATGTTCCAGGCGTCACTCCCACTCTTGCCTCACCTGTGGGCGCCAGGCGGGCAGCATCAGCATGGGCCATTGAGGTTGTCAACTTTGGTGCTCATGCCATGCCATTCTCTGATGCCATTTCCTTCTCTCCTCCTACAGGTGGGCCTCGCATACTTTGCAAGCTCCGCCCTCGTGTTTCTGCTGTGGTGGGTGGGTGTATCACCAGCGCGATGTGGAAAGTGGTTGCAGCAGCAGGGCTTGGCGCTGATGGTGGAGATGGCAGGGCTGAGGAGGAGTGCGGCCATGGCTTTCTTGGATTGCAGGGTACGTTGTTCACGGCAGGCATGTGAATCAGTGCCTGTTGCAGAGGATATGGATGAGAGCATGTCCTGTCGTGCCATCATTCACCCCCCATGCCTTACACCTCTACCTCTGTGCCGGCCACTGCCATGCCTGCCCGCCTCAACCGTCAGCTTGCTATCCACATGCTCTTTTTCACATGCTATCCACATGCTCTTTTTCACATGCTATCCACATGCTATCCACGTGCTCTTTTTCACATGCTATCCACATGCTATCCACATGCTCTTTTTCACATGCTATCCACATGCTCTTTTTCTCGCTCCTCCTCTCTTCCCCCATCCCTCGCCCTCATCCCCTCCTTCAATGATGCTCCCTACCTTCCATTCCCACCCTCCCTTCTCCTACCCCTCCTTTGCCTCTCATCCCTTCTTCTCCCCTCAACCCCTCGTGCCCATCCTCCATGTTCCCACCATGTGCCAGTGTCGTGCCATCGTCCGTCAACTCCGCCATGCTCATCGCCCCACATCCAAGTGAGCACGCGCCACCTCACTGCCTGCAACCAACATCGCCCGTGTTGCGCCACCAGTTTCTCGTGGTTGCGGCAGCAGGGAAGCCATAGAGATGCCTGTAGCATCGCTTTGGCTTACCTTTACGTTTCCCCACTCTCGCTGTTTCCCCACACTCGCTGTTTCCCCACTCTCGCTGTTTCCCCACTCTCGCCGTTTCCCCACTCTCGCCGTTTCCCCACTCTCGCTGTTTCCCCACTCTCGATGTTTCCCCACACTCGCTGTTTCCCCACTCTTGCTGTTTCCCCACTCTCGATGTTTCCCCACTCTCGCTGTTTCCCCACTCTCGCTGTTTGTGTTCGCTGCATTCTTGGGTGGTTGATGCCGTATCTCAACACGTCCCTATGTGATGCGGTGTTCTCTCATTGCTCTCACGTTGCCTTGGACAGTGAGATTGGCAGACCAGGAATGGACGAAGTGATTGAAGCTCGTGGGATGCCTTCAGAGCAGGGAGCGCCGAGGCAGGGATTGGAAGGGTTTTTGAGAACGCTAGCAGAGCAGGTGGAAGAGGCAAGGAGGGAGGTGGCGGCAGTGAGGGGCGAGTTGGCGGAGCACAAGGGGCGGCTGGCAGGGCTGCAAGAAGCTCTCACACAGACTGACCGTGCCAGCCAGCGGTCATGGGAGGTTAGTGTGGCTGTGTGCTGTAGCTTCTTTCAAACTATCACGCCATTTTTTTTTTGCTATGATCCTTTCAAGGAACGCTTCATCAGTGTACGCGTTTGTGAGAGACGTTTGAAGAACGCCTTCGTCCGTCTTGTTGTATCATTTGCATCACTCCTTACGTCAGACCCTTCTGTCAGTGTGGTGTGGGAACGCATTGAAATGCACCCATGTGGAGCTGCAGAACGTGCCTATTCTATCCACCACCGCGCTGCGCCTGCTCTCCACCATCTCTCACCTCCAACACGTCGACTTGGACGGGTCAGCAGGCTTCACTGCAGAGGGCGTGCGTCTCCTCTACAAGCTGCCTCGCTTAGAGGACCTCAGCTTGCGCGACACAACCGTTGCAGACGAAGCACTTATCGGCATTGGGGAAGCGAAGAGCCTTGCACGCCTCTATCTGAGCCGCACCCAGGTGTCCGATGCCGGGCTAATGCACCTCGCTGCTCTTTCCGCGCTCAACACCCTGTCGCTGCTTGGGTGCCATGGTGTGACTGGCATGGGTATGGTGCATGTGGGGCGGCTGGGCGGCCTGGAGTGGCTTTATTTGCAGGGCACGGGGGTGGACGATACCGGGCTGCACCATCTGGCGTACCTCAGCAAGCTGCTCGTGCTCTACCTGCCTGGAGGGGAGTGTCTTGATCACAAGAAGCTCTGCAGGCAGCTGGGCAAGTAGGTGGACAGGAGTATGAGGCTGGAGATGGCTTGGGCCATGCATTTGCTTCATAACATATACCCCAAAAACGGTATAGTGTCAGAATTCGAGCCTAACACAAAAGGTGTATCAGAATTAGAATTTGTGCCAGTAAAAGCTGATTTTCAATAGCCATGACATCTACTGTGTACAGAAATAGGGGGACTTATAATGATTAGGGGCGGAAGGGGGGGCCTCACATAACCTGCCACAATAAGAGTCCCACTACCCATTCAAGAGCCCCCCGGGGGACCATTTGACCGGCAGGTCCTATAGCCGGCATTCTACAGTAGTACTGGTAATAGTCTGGTTAGAACAAAGCAGTTGCACAAAGCTGTTGAAATGTTAGCTCCTTAACTTACGGCAAGCACAGCTGCATGCCCTCCCACCTGGTTGGTGGTATACATGCCTCACCTGGTTGGCGGTATACATGCCTCACCTGCTCGGTGGTATACATGCCTCACCTGGTTGGCGATATACATGCCTCACCTGGTTGGTGGTATACATGCCTCACCTGGTTGGTGGTATACATGCCTCACCTGGTTGGTGGTATACATGCCTCACCTGGTTGGCGGTATACATGCCTAACCTGGTTGGTGGTATACATGCCTCACCTGGTTGGCGGTATACATGCCTCACCTGGTTGGCGGTATACATGCCTCACCTGGTTGGTGGTATACATGCCTCACCTGGTTGGTGGTATACATGCCTCACCTGGTTGGTGGTATACATGCCTCACCTGGTTAGCGGTATACATGCCTCACCTGGTTGGCGGTATACATGCCTCGCCTGGTTGGCGGTATACATGCCTCACCTGGTTGGCGGTATACATGCCTCACCTGGTTGGCGGTATACATGCCTCACCTGGTTGGCGGTATAAATGCCTCACCTGGTTGGTGGTATACATGCCTCACCTGGTTGGTGGTATACATGCCTCACCTGGTTGGTGGTATACATGCCTCACCTGGTTGGTGGTATACATGCCTCACCTGGTTGGCGGTATACATGCCTCACCTGGTTGGCGGTATACATGCCTTACCTGGTTGGCGGTATACATGCCTCACCTGGTTGGTGGTATACATGCCTCACCTGGTTGGCGGTATACATGCCTCACCTGGTTGGCGGTATACATGCCTCACCTGGTTGGTGGTATACATGCCTCACCTGGTTGGCGGTATACATGCCTCACCTGGTTGCTAGTATACATGCCTCACCTGGTTGGTGGTATACATGCCTCACCTGGTTGGTGGTATACATGCCTCACCTGGTTGGTGGTATACATGCCTCACCTGGTTGGTGGTATACATGCCTCACCTGGTTGGTGGTATACATGCCTCACCTGGTTGGTGGTATACATGCCTCACCTGGTTGGTGGTATACATGCCCCACCTGGTTGGTGGTATACATGCCTCACCTGGTTGGTGGTATACATGCCTCACCTGGTTGGTGGTATACATGCCTCACCTGGTTGGTGGTATACATGCCTCACCTGGTTGCTAGTATACATGCCTCACCTGGTTGGTGGTATACATGCCTCACCTGGTTGGTGGTATACATGCCTCACCTGGTTGGTGGTATACATGCCTCACCTGGTTGGTGGTATACATGCCTCACCTGGTTGGCGGTATACATGCCTCACCTGGTTGGTGGTATACATGCCTCACCTGGTTGGTGGTATACATGCCTCACCTGGTTGGCGGTATACATGCCTTACCTGGTTGGCGGTATACATGCCTCACCTGGTTGGTGGTATACATGCCTCACCTGGTTGGCGGTATACATGCCTCACCTGGTTGGCGGTATACATGCCTTACCTGGTTGGCGGTATACATGCCTCACCTGGTTGCTAGTATACATGCCTCACCTGGTTGGTGGTATACATGCCTCACCTGGTTGGTGGTATACATGCCTCACCTGGTTGGTGGTATACATGCCTCACCTGGTTGGTGGTATACATGCCTCACCTGGTTGCTGGTATACATGCTGGTGCAGCTCTTGTTGGCAGATGCCGACACGTTCACTATCAACCCACGAGGTATGGGCTTGTCACATGCCATGCCCTGTCAAGGCATCCATAAAAGAGGACAGCGCAATATTACACCGACTGACTTATCTGGTGATTATTAAAGGAGCAATACTGTCGCTGCCAGCACATGCGATGGCAGGAAACCCAGCGAGCAATGTCGAGTTCATAAAACTCAGCCAGATTGGCTAAATAGTTTTCAATGTTTTTTTAGATCAAACGACTAAAACATCAACTCAACTCGGTCAAGTTTTATTGGGAAAATACCAAACACGTAACTAAAGTTTCTGAAGTTGGGTAGAAACTCGAGTTGGGTGAAAAACTCGACTCGCATGCCCAGGTGTACGTGCGGTGCGGGGGGTGTATCAATGCACCTGACCTCATCAGCGCGCCTCACCTGGTTGCTCTCCAGCAGCTCTTGAGGTGAGAGGTCAAAGATGTCGAGCAGCAGAGGGCATGTGAGGCCGGGGGGTGCTGGGAAGAATGGCACTCGAGTAGCGGCCTTGCTCACTGGTGGATAGAGGGCAGGTGGAAAGGGGGAACGGGGGAGGAGGGGAAAAGGGGGAAAGCCAGAGGGACAGAGGGCAGAGGGGGATTATGGAGAAAGAAAGAGGAAAGAGGGGGACATTGGACAGAAGGGACGAGAGGGCCAAAGGGGAAAGAGGGGGACATTGGACAAAAGGGACGAGAGGGCCAAAGGGGAAAGAGGGGGACATTGGACAAAAGGGAAGAGAGGGCCAAAGGGGAAAGAGGGGGACATTGGACAAAAGGGAAGAGAGGGCCAAAGGGGAAAGATGGGGACATTGGACAAAAGGGAAGAGAGGGCCGAAGGGGAAAGAGGGGGACATTGGACAAAAGGGAAGAGAGGGCCGAAGGGGAAAGGGGGGGAAGTGGAGAGAGAGCAGTGGACTTGCTAACTGATGGACAGAGGGCAGGTGGAGAAGGGGGTAAGGGGGAAAGAGGGGAAGAGGGGGGGAAGGGGAGAGAGGAGAGTGAGGCAAGAGGGCGGAAAGTTGAGAAGCACAGAGCTCAAGGCTTTGGAGCGGAGGGCAAGTGAGGCCGCCGGGCCTGGACCAAGGGCTTCCACGGGACCAAGGCAGATGGTAGAAAAGGGGGTGCGGGGTGGGGGGACACGGGGGGGCGGGGGGTGTCAGCAGACCCGGTAGAGGGGAATCACATAGAGTGGGTGGCGGCAGCAAGAAGGATGGTACGTAAAGGAGAGAATAGGTGTGGTGGGAGCAGGGAGGGATATCACAGGAAGAGCAGCGCTCGATTGAAGCGCCTAGAAAATGTTGGCCATACAATTTCGTGTGGAATGTGCTTCAAGGAACAAGCCTCTTGGATGATGTGAGTGTTTAGCTCAAGGTGAAAACAAGAGGTTGGGATCGGTGGAGTAGTTTAAAAAAAAAAAGTACCAGGGTTAACAGGATGGGCGACTAGTGCCACGCCACGTTACGCCATCTTACCTGGCTTAACTATCTTAGAGAGTCTTACCTTGGTTACAAGGTCGCTTCAGGGGGATAGAGTAGTCGAGGAGACTGAATCAATGCGCACAAGGTCCTCTTGTGCACTCAATGCGCAGGAGTGCACTCAATGCACAGGAGTGCGCAGGAGTGCACTCAATGCACAGGAGCGCACTCAATGCGCAGGAGTGCACTCAATGCACAGGAGTGCACTCAATGCGCAGGAGTGCACTCAATGCACAGGAGTGCACTCAATGCGCAGGAGTGCACTCAATGCGCAGGAGTGCACTCCTGACCTCACAGTACGGGGCTTGCCCAGCAGCACTCACAACACTGTGGGTGAGTCAGCTTACATTGAAGTGGGCCATTTGTTGGTGCAAGCAAACATCAAAACACACGTCATGTCAGCAGCACACGTGCGCAAGTGCTGCTAGTGTGGGCAAAAGGCAAAAAACGATGAGAACCTGCTTCAACTTTGGTGTGATCGAGTCAACTCAGAAATTACATAGATTAAAGCAAGGTTAACATACAATTCTATCAAGTTCAAGTCAGGGTTAACAAACCGGGTGTGCAGAAAGAAGGTAAGCTGATCGCCAACCCTGAGAGGTCAGCTGATCGCTTCGAGCAGTTGAAGTGATTCAGCTGAGTTACAGGGTAACCTTGGAGAGAGGTCAGTCTACCTTGGAGAGAGGTCAGTCTACCTTGGAGAGAGGTCAGTCTACCTTGGTTACAGGGTTGCTTGAGGGGGTTAGAGTAGTCGAGGGGGAAGAAGGCGGGCGGGCAGAGGCAGAAGGAGGAGGCATCATAGCCCTCCAGGCACACGCCGGGTGCACACGTGTCAGTGCTGTTAAGGCGACATGCGGGGAACTCTGGACGGACATTTAAAAGGTGGAGAGGAATTTAGAGAGGTTAGAGGCGATGAGATGGTAAGTGGGAGGAAAATACAGAGTGAATGGGTATGGGGTGGGAGAGGCGATGAAATGGTAAGTGGGGAGTGAAACGGTTAGAAGTGCAGCCACTTAGCTGGTGAAAGCGGAAGGAAGTATCAACGTGCTGGTTGATTGATTGTGCTGTGTTATGAACTTTGAAGAGTATTGGATGTGGCAAAATTTGAAGAGGTTGCAGCTGCAATGGCTGAAATGAGACGGCACGAGCTCGTGTTGATGAGACGTAATTTCAATCAGGATTTACCCTTGTCAATACCCTTGTGCACTATGTGGTGATGGCTGCATTGCCTTACCATTAAAACCAGCCAAGCTTACCGTTGAAGCACGTTTGGAAGGCGGGCATTTGGGGGAGCTTGTAGCTGGGCTGGGTGAGAGGGCACGAGCACGTGCTGCTGTATGTGCCTGTGGCTGCTGACTGCACCGCAATGCACCTGCCAGCACCGCATGGGTCCACGTCCCATGCCGTGCACGGGCTGACGTCTGTGTGGCATGGGGAGTGAGGATAGGAGAGACAAGGAGAGACAAGGAGAGACAAGGAGAGACAGGGAGGAGAAGATGATGGACGAAAGGGGAAAAGGGCTGAACAGAGGAGCAATAAGGGTATGAAAACATTAAGGTTGGAGTGGAATCACTAGTTGAGTGAATAAATGTATGCATTGTTCCCTCTTAGCGATTCAAGTCAAACGGATGCATGAATCTTGTGATTCAGTCACTGATAATGACTTCTAATTGCGAGCATATGATCTATGTTGGAAAAAATGCTCAGGGCAAGAAAAGAATCATGTATGTTAGTGTGTATCCGGAAATTCGTGATATACGGTACGCTCGTTTAGGCAGCCCGTCTGAAAAAAAAATGTGTGTACGAATTGCACAAACCCAAACGTCGACTGCAACTGTATTTTCCCTTAGTACCATACTGTTCTTTTCCAACATAGCATATTCTCACGAATGTGGCACATGGATAGTGGGACCAAAGCAAGTGTGCATGTGCACACAGACAAGATGAGAACAAATGCACAGATGCACAGATGCACAGATGCACAGATGCACAGATGCACAGATGCACAGATGCACAGATGCACAGATGCACAGATGCACAGATGCACAGATGCACAGATGCACAGATGCACAGATGCACAGATGCACAGATGCACAGATGCACAGATGCACAGATGCACAGATGCACAGATGCACAGATGCACAGATGCACAGATGCACAGATGCACAGATGCACAGATGCACAGATGCACAGATGCACAGATGCACAGATGCACAGATGCACAGATGCACAGATGCACAGATGCACAGATGCACAGATGCACAGATGCACAGATGCACAGATGCACAGATGCACAGATGCACAGATGCACAGATGCACAGATGCACAGATGCACAGATGCACAGATGCACAGATGCACAGATGCACAGATGCACAGATGCACAGATGCACAGATGCACAGATGCACAGATGCACAGATGCACAGATGCACAGATGCACAGATGCACAGATGCACAGATGCACAGATGCACAGATGCACAGATGCACAGATGCATGCATCTACAGGCACAGATGCATTCAGGCACACACACCTGAGCAATCACAAGATACATGCTTCAACGGCCCGTACACAACACGTACACTTTCGAGCCACAGATGCACAAAATCACACACAGACGCGTGGCACTCACCGAACCGTTCATACGCACCTGTGAAACGGAAGGTCCACGCTTTGATGGACTGAACACATGCGTGCGTGCTGGCACTGCTGAACCCAGCAAACACCGGAGTCACTCCCTCAGTGCTGCTATTGCCATCGTAGAACACAGAGCACAGGTCCAGCGTCAGCTTCACACTCCCCATCCTCGTTGCCCCTTTATAAGTCACTGCCTCTAGAGTCTTAGTGGCAGCCGTATAGTCCACCCTCATGCTGTATAACGAGGATGAAGTGTATTTCTTCTGAGACGAAAAAGCCAGCCGCCGTGTCACGTTAAAGTCAGTGTGAATGGAGAGAATCGCCACATCCTTGTAAATGGCATAGTTAGGGTCAATGCCGCTAAAGGCATCAAACATCACCGCCACACTCCTCCCTCCATCTGCCCACGTCCCATTCGCACCCCTCTCGTCCGCGTCCCGGCCGTATCCCATGCCCGTCCCGCCTTGACCCACCCCTGGCCGAGTACTTGGCACAAAAACCACCCCAAACCCATTCGTCTCTTTTCCCTTGAGATTAAACGCAAACCACGAGGTGAAGGACAGAGCCTTGCACACCAGTGCATCAGTCTTTCCGCCCTTGTTCCTCCCCTTGCGGGGGGGAGGAGGTGGGAGGAGCGAGAGCAGGGGCAGGGGGAGGTTGAAGAAGGCGGCGCCTGACTCCTCCTCCTGGTTGCCCGGGGTGAGCTGCAGCGCGGAGATGGCGAGGCGAGCTGCACCCGAGGCAGTGAAGGGCGCGCCTGGCGTGAGGAAGGGCAAGGCGAGCGACGGCTGCTGCCACACGGGGAGAGGCGCCGGCGCTGGAATGGTTGAAGGGTTTGGGAGGTAAGTAGGAGGGAGATGAGGGAAAGTGAGCCGGGCAGCACAGAGAGGTGGGAGGGGAGGGGAGAGAGGAGTGGGAAGAGGAGAGCCAGGAGGGGATAGGAGAGATGACGGCACCAACACATCCAACACTGAGGGGCTAAAGAGGAGAGGAGTAGAGGGAGTGGGAAGGATGAACGGTTGGGAAGGATGAACGGTTACGCCGCCACGCAAACCTTTCATTTGGCTCTTGGATCTCTCTTGGCTCTACACACCTTGCCCAGCCCGCTCTGCTCTGCCTGCCATTCAAGCCTGCTCTGCTCGGCCTTGACTCTTGGCTACCGCACACCTTGCCATGACTCCTGCCACTCCCCCGCTCACCTTGCGTGTCGACCTGGAAGGTCCAGGAGAGGATGTCGTGCGTCTGAGTGTGCAGCGGCAGCAACCCCGTGCCGGCTGCAAACCCCGCATGTACCAACACGGCCTCCCCTCCCCCGCCGTCCTCCTTCGGAGCAATGTGAAAAAGGTCACAGGTATTGAAGGGGAGGGAGAGGAGGGCGGAGGGGGGCATGGCGGGCGAGGAGGAGAGGCACACGGAGAGCAGCGAGGCGGTGGCGTTGTACGCCACCCACGCATGCAGCGTCTCGTTCTCGTTCTTGTTGCCGCCCAGCGAGGCCATGCCCGTGGGGTGCACGGACGCATGGCCTGCTGACGTCATGCTGTAATCCACGTTGATCCCCACGTGGTGCACCGTTGGGTCCGAAAACAGACGGGTTGATGACGTGTCAAACTCCACTGCCAGGCTGTGCTGATGTGGCAGGCTGCTGTTGAGGGTGACGCCACTGCCGCTGCTGCCGCCAATCGTGGTGCATGTAACGGCCCCGTTCTCCACCTCACACAATTGTTGTTCCCCCCCTTCCAACTCCACAAACATCTCCTCCTGCCGGTAAGGCCTCCTGCCGTATCCCATGTTTGGCCCGGGCAGCCCGAGGGTTGGGTCGGGCAGGAGAACGAAAGCAAAGCCGTCGGCCCCGAGAGCAGCAGCGGATTGGGGGGAGGAGAGGCGGAAGGAGAAGGAGGAGGAGAAAGAGTAGGGGCGGCAGGGGGAAGTGGGGGAGGTGGGGGAGACGAGGGGGAAGGGCGTGGGGTGTAGGGCAAGGCCCGCTTGGTGGGGGGGAGAGAGGGGGGTGAGGCGCAGCGAGGAGGGGAGGAGGCGGGCCGATCCGGAGGTGAGGAGGGGAGAGGAGGGGCTTGATGGGGAGTAGGAGAAGGATGGAGGGGCATAGGCCGCTGGAATTTGAGGGGAGGCGGGGAAAAAAAGAAGGGGGGGCAGAGGAAAGAGAAAGGTGAAAATCGGAGCAAATGTGTTTGGGCATGAGCAAAGCAGGGAAAGAGGTGGAGAAAGAAAGTGGGAAAAGAAATGAGCTCCATGGATACAGAGTCACTCACTCTGTGCTCCGAGACTCCTCAAGACTATCATGCCAGTCCAACCGTCCTGTTGTGAGTGGAGCGAACACCTGTGATCTCAAGAAACGCACCTGTGTCTCTGAGCGCACCTGTGCCTCTGAGCGCACCTGTGCCTCTGAGCGCACCTGTGCCTCTGAGCGCACCTGTGCCTCTGAGCGCACCTGTGCCTCTGAGCGCACCTGTGCCTCTGGGCGCACCTGTGCCTCTGAGCGCACCTGTGCCTCTGGGCGCACCTGTGCCTCTGTGCGCACCTGTGCCTCTGTGCGCACCTGTGCCTCTGGGCGCACCTGTGCCTCTGGGCGCACCTGTGCCTCTGTGCGCACCTGTGCCTCTGGGCGCACCTGTGCCTCTGTGCGCACCTGTGCCTCTGGGCGCACCTGTGCCTCTGGGCGCACCTGTGCCTCTGGGCGCACCTGTGCCTCTGTGCGCACCTGTGCCTCTGGGAGCCACCGTGATCAGATCCACATCGATGCTCCCCGCTGCCGCTGCCGCCGACGTCAGTGACCCGCCTTCCACCGCTTCTGTTGATGCTACAGTCGCACCCCCAGGCACGGAAGCACCCCCAGGCACGGTGGTAGGTAAGGGAACGGGCACGTCAATGGGAACAGGCTGTTCCCCGGAGCCATCAGACGACGTGCTGCCGCTGCCGCTGTCCGCCTCCTTTCCCTCCAGCAGCACGAGGTGCAGCGCAACGCCTTGCGGTGGGAAGGATAGAGCAGCGGCGGAGGCGGAGGAGGGTGGGAGGTGGAAGGAGAAGGGCCCGTGTTGGCGCCAGGGCAGCAGGCCAGAGAGAGAGAAGGAGTTGTTGCGGCAGGGAACGCCGATGGTCCATTGATGCAGCACCATCATGTCTGCTCCTCCGCTGCTCATATCGGCTGCTAGCGCCCTGGCTAGCTCGCCCTCGTCCACAGTGCTGCTGCTGCTGCTGCCGCTGCCACCGCCGTTGCTGCTGGCGACATTGGCTAGTGGTGGCGATGGCAGGGGCATGGCGACAACCATGGCTCGCATCGGCCGCACTCCAGCGGCAAGAGACATATCCATCATGCACTCGCGCGCCCTTGCATAGAAATACAGCGAATAATCTTGCTCCTGCTGCTGCTGCTGCTGCTGCTGCAGCTGCTCTCCCCCTTCCGCGACACACAGCAGCTGCCCCAGTCCCTGCACCGGCCACACTGCCCCTTCACTCTCGCTCGCCCCGCTGCCCCAAAGCTCGCCACCGGTGCCACCACTGCCGTCGCTGGGCTGCAGGCGAACGAACCGACCGCCCTCAGCAGCAACGGACGGGTCCCCGGGGGGAACCTCCCCTCCCCCTCCCCCCTCCCCCGCCCCCTGTACCCCCTCCGCCATCTGCCCTTGCTGCTGTGCTACGAGCGGCACCCAGGACGACAGGGGCGAGGGCCAGTCTGCTGCGTCGGAAACTTCCTCGAAGCCCGCATTGCGCAGGAGGTTCAAAGAGGGAGCTGGGAGGTGGGGGGTGAAGGGGTGGGAGATAGGAGGTGGGAGGGTGGGGCGGTGGGGAGAGATGGCGTGGGGGGAAGAGGAAGGGAGGGTGGAGGAGATGAATGAGGAGATTCCAATAAGGGGAGGGAAAATAAAAAAAAAACGAAAAGGGGAGGGGAGGTGGCAAATACATCTGGCAGGGGAAGTGGGGACAGGCAATTAAGGCCGGGGGAAAGGGATGGGAAGGCGTGGGTCAGCGCACAGCGGCAGTTGCTAGTGCAGTAGGGAAGGCTAGACGGGGGTAGGAGAGCGGAGAGGGAGGGGATTCAGAGGCGTAGAGGCGGAAGGCGGCAATGGGAATGCGAAGGAGGCGCGACGCTCGCAAATGGCGGCGGCAAGGCCGCCGTTCGCTGCTGCTGGCGGAACCGGGTTTTGTTTGGGGATGTTGAATCTGTGTTTTGAGAATTCTCCATAAACTGGTTGGGGATGTTCTCGCCGTCGATGGCACCACGTGATTTCGAGGAGAGCCCTGTGAGGCCGCAATAATCGGTACTACCTACCTTGAGCTGCGAGGCTGGCGCATGTCGGCACGATAGCGTTGGCGACGGTGATGAGCGAGAGGAAGTGCGCGGTTACCACAAGCACGCGAAGAGCGACGATGAGGCGGTCCCTGATGCCTACAGAAGCTCGCCATTTGTGGGCTGGTTTTGGATCTGTGTCAGCAGCAAGTGACTCGTTACAGAGAGCCCGGTCAAGAATATCGGATGATTGGATAGCGTGTGGCATGGAGATCGAGAGTGGGCGGCGATTGCGAGGAGCGAAACTTGCGGTGATGGCAGCATCGCAGCGCGATAGGAGAAATGATATCAGCGTATGCGGTTCCAATGATATATTCCATTCCTGTCTGGTGTCTTCGAGAATTCTCAAAAACACCCTGCACCACCATAACAACCCAGGCAAATCCGGCTAGACCATTTCTGGATCAAGTTTTCAGGGAGGTCCGTACGGCTGGACGCATTCGGGCTCGAACCCTAACTGCACCACGCCTGCAACTTACTAAAACGCAACAAAATGCTCTCCACCTCTCTGGACTTCGGAATCTGGCCAGCATACACGTGACTGGCTTGAGCTGTGGGATAGGATCGATGTGATATGTAAGCTCGTGGTGGCCTGAGGCAGTAGTACAGTTTCTTACGCGAAGGGAACAGCTACGGAAAGGTAAGGAGTGCAACGAAGGGGTCTTGTTGTCGGGATAATATACCTCAGCGGACCCTGAACCACAGCTCGACACGTCGTGCGCCGAGCCGCGATTACGGCCACGTGGCCTAGTAAGGACGGCCGAGATCGAGCCTGACAATCGGGAGGTGCCACGACGACGCCGACGTGGCCCCGCTTCGCAGCACCTGTATCTTTCGCTGCGCGCGAAACTTGGCCCGCCGATGAAAAATGTCACCATCGTCCACGCAGCGAAAGCCGACTGGCTAAGGCATGTACATGTGTCCACCATCTAGATAGCCAGAGAACGCGTGGTAATGAGATGTCGGTGTCGCCCGAAGATCCAACCGCAGCAGCACGACCCACACGGATGGTTCTGTGCGGACCAAACCCTGCATAGGCGAAGAGAGCCCCAGACTCAGGGAATGTCGGCGTCGACCAGGCCTCCGGCCACGCGCCTACTCGCAGGTCGATGAGGTTTGCGCGGGAGAGCAGGACGCTACGGCATTTCGGGAGAGTGGAACTAGGTGATTGGCCTATTGCACCTATTGCAAGTGGCGCACGTGAATTCCACCGTGGCAAGGCACCGGCGGGAGTGCCGTTGAGCGCAAAGCGGCGTGACACTAAACATGCATCGATCGTGACACGTCATGCACGTGCACTGCTGCGCTTGCAAAGAGGGCTGCGTGGAGCGCGGCAGGTGCGCAGTGGCCCGCATCCATACCCCTCTTTGACCACGCACAACGCTCTCATTCTGCCTGTTCCGCTTCGTGTTTCTCTCGTGCTCCTGTGCGCCATCTGGCACTTCGCTTTCTTCACAGGACCCTCGCTGTCTCTGCGGGTCTAGGTTACTCGACGGCCGAGTCGACCCAGCGGCGGCACTCAGGCGTCGACCTGGAATAGACTTCGGTCGGCACTAAGGCGTCGACGTGAATCACTTCCGTCTCTGGTTTACCAATCTTTCCCTCTTCCACGGCCGGCGGTAGAGCATACGAGCGGTCATGGACGACGTCGACATGCCCGACGTTGGTACCCCAACCGACCACAGTCCGTCCTCTGCCCCCGTAGAGACGCTGAAGTTGCTTTACGATCTTGACAAACTTACTCAGATTCCCGAAGGGGATGTACACCAAGGACATACCGAATCCGCCAATTGGGGAGTTTACGAAGAAGTCGACACCGACGGCAGATGGGCAGCCTGGACCTTCGTCGGTTCCGGCCGGCTCGGAAAACCAAGATGATGACGACGACGAGGACGAGGAAGAGAGCGACGACGAAGTCGACGACCGTCCTCCGCGTAGCACAAATCCGCGCACCTTGAAAGAACGCCTTAGGCGGGAATTTGAATACATACGTGACATGCTCGAAGAGGACGAGAAGGAGGACAATCAGCACATGGCGGTGCCGCGCGAAGGGTGGAAGGCGACGGACTTTGTAGAGGACGACATGGTGTACTCCAGCATTGACGTGCTCATAATGGACGCCCTACGACACCTACAATGCTTGGAGAAGAATAGCACGCTCAGGCTGTACACCGTGTTCATCTACCACTACAAGAAGTGGGCGGCGAAGATGCTGAAGCAGATACGCGACAAGCTCCCCCATGAGCAACGACTTAGGCACGTCGACGAGATCGGCCACTACATCCGCGACAACAAGAAAAAGGATTGGTGCAACGAGAAAGTGGTCCGCCGAGAGTACATCTAGCTGCACGGCCCTAAGGTCACCGAAGCCCGGCTGCGCGCCTACGTGAAGCAAATGAGCCGTGAGTGTAACCTCATTGCTGACCAGCCCGGGGAGGATAACAATGCCACGCGAACGGGGCCTGTGAGGTCGACAACTGTGCACACGATCCTCGGCCGCATAAAGGCATGCCAGATGGCGGCGAGGGTGGAGGCGACGCTGTACCGAGAGAAGGAGCTGGGCATCATGAGGGAGATCTCGGTGGTGAGATCGGAGGTGCGGTTCAACGTCCGCCACAAGAACGAGAGGGACATCAAGTAAGTTGGTCGACAACCTTATTATATATCACTGTCCACTGTGAAGTCGACGCAGTCTAACAGATTTTCCCCGCCGATTTGCGTTTAGGAACTGCGCCGACCGTCGACGCTGGCACCATCGGCGATACCTACACCGCCGAGCAGTTCCGCCAAATCATGATGAGGGTGCTGCCGACATGGGCGGCGTCGGCGTGGAACCCGCGGGCTACCACTCCGTCGCAGACGCTGTGGCGATTCCTGCTCATCAAGGTGCTCACGCTACTCTCCCACCACACTCTCCTGCGCGGCGCCAGCATCCGCGAGATCACGCTCCCCGACGTCTTCTTGTACCACCTGGCGAGCACCTCGGAGGTGAACCCGGATAGCCAGCCGGTCGTCATGGTGATCGCTGCGCGTAACTCGAAGACTTCCAAGGATGCCCGTCTTCAGCAGAGCTACGCTGCGCGACACCTGGAAGCGGAGCTGTGCGCCGTCGGCGAGACCGGCCTGTGGCTGCACTTCATCCTCGACCAGATCGGTCAGTTCTCCGGCACCGACTTCCTTTCGCCGCTTGACACCACAGAACGCGAACGCTGGTACAAGAAGCATCTCTTCTTCGCCAGAAACGACAAGGAGCAGGAGGAGCTCTCCTCCGCCACCCACCAACGTTGGACTCGGCAGATGTGGAGGACCAACAAGGTGTTCTGCAAAAGGAAAGTGCACGCCGCCCGCGCCGGTGGTGCGCAGGAGCTAGCCATCGGAGGGACGCCGCGCGCCCAGATCGCCGAGCTGGGACACTGGGCTCTCGACAAGATGACGCGTGCGTACATCACGGCCATTCCCGTTGGGGTGGTGATGCAGAAGGCCGGCTACTCGGGACTCAAGCAAGACTACTTCTTGGGGCGCAGCAGGGTCGAGCCCTCCGACAAACTCCTGGACCTGCTCGCCGAGCACATCTTCCCCGGCGTGGATGCTATGCTGCGCGATGTATGTCACGCGACGCCGACAATGTTTTTCAGTCGTCGTCGCCTAGTTGGCTGCCCAACTCCCTACTAACCCACGCCACTTTCCGACTTGCAGGCGGAGACGCGTGCCGTCAACGGGAGCGACGCCGATGCAGCCGCAGTGCACTTCTTGCGCACCCTCGTGATGTTCCGACGAATCGTCGCCGAGGACCTCGCGGTGAAGCTCGTCCGCACACCGTGGCACCCGTACGTCCAAGGTTCCAAGCTCTGCAGGATTGCCCTCTTCCAGCACTGGGCGAAAAGGGTCGAGTCGGTCGACACCGATACGATCAAAAAGCGCCGGGACCCAACTCAGATTCAGCCGGAGGTGAGTCGCCGACCATGTCGGCGTCGTTGAATTTTAGCCGATGACTTCTAACCTCTTGTCGCCTTTCCGCACACTCAACATTGCAGGAAATATCCGTGCGCATGGACACCCAGTATCACAACATGTCCCTCAAGGAGGCGCTGAAGAAGGAGGTCGAGCGCTCGGCGCTCGAGAAGCTAGGCTACCAGGAGACGATCGAGAAGCAAAACGACACCATCGTGTCGCTCACCGCCGAGCTTGCTCGACTCACCGAGGCACTCCGTGTGTCAGAAGCCCGGAGGATGCCGGCGGCGCCGCCGTCGGCGACCGATCAAACTCCGGGCGAGGGTGGCTCCGCGGATTCGGCCAACAGGGGGACCGGAGCCAAGAGAGATGATGGGAAACCCCCGCCACCCCCCCAGACGGCAGAGGAGGCCAGTTACGAGCTCAACGTGGTGCAACCGTGGCGGGATTCAAAGACCGTGCGGGACGCTTGGCGCCTCTGGAACTCCGCCACCGCCAATGACACCCGTCGTCTTTGCGACAGGGTCGCCGAGCCGGGGTTCATCGACCGCCACACCCTCCTCAAAGGCGCGACCCAGGGTGCACTCAACATGAGGGTGCGCCGCATGCTGAATGCCATGGATGCGGTGCGCCAGCTACGCGCGAGCGACGGCGATGCCGACACCGAAGCCGTGGTCGATGCACTGAACACGATCGCGGCACCGGGCATTGGGACCTTCTGCGATGCCCTCACGGTGCTCAACCCGGAGACGGCACCGACGATGTCCAAGGAGCCTGGCATGGGCGTCAAGGGGCTTGGCCCCAAGGTGGTCTCGAAGCTACGCCTCGCCTGTGCGCTGGTGGCGCTGGAGCTGAAGCCGACGACGTGGGTCGACCGCCTGTTTCCAGACACCTGGGAGGAGCAGATGCCGAAGACCGAGGCCGACTTGGCCAAGCAGACCGCACCTGCGCAGCGTCCTCCATCAAAGCGCAAGAAGTCGGCATGAACATCCTCGGTGCATATGTGTTAGCGTAGGTTGATGCCCTAATTTAGCAACATATGTGTTCCCATTGTACTTGTTGATGGTGATGCAACACGAACATACATGATCCAACACATACATCCGAACCAGATATGTCGGACTCCGACATAGTCGCCACCATGTGTTTGCAATTCATTGTGCCTTATTCATGTCGACGTCTCGCACGATTGCATGTCGATAGGGCGTCGACATATTCGCCGACATATCTCGTCGCGGAATAGCATGTGTCTACCCCGTCTATCATCGCTGCTCGCCGAGTAGGATGTTCCTTTTGATGTCGACACATGCGCCGACAAGGCGCATCGTTCAAAGTCGGCTAGCAAGTTTCAATGTGGACAGTGATTTACTAAAAAACGGAAAAAGATTCGTGCCCTACGATACAAAAGTCATTAGAATAACTTGGCCATCGGCGCCAACCATACAATAGTGCCCTGCACACCGCAGCCCGCCAACTACGCATCCGTACTGCCCATGCCCTGCTTGCTCTTCTTCCTCTTGCTGCTGCCCTTGCTCTGCTTGACCTTCTCCCCCTTCCTCCCCCTGTGATCCATATCGTACTCCATCCTCGCGTCACACGGCACATCGATGCCCTGCGCTTTGAGCTTGGGCCCGGCGACGGGGCACATTCCCCAGAACGCCAAGGTCTCGACCGTCGCTCTTGCGATCATGTCGGCCTCGACTTCCACAACTCCCTTCGCGAAGGCCCTGGCAACTGCCTGGCTCTGCAGGGATGGCGCGACGTTATGTGCAACCTCCCCAGCGGGAGCCTGCCTGCTGCGTGCTATGTCGATCACCGCGTGCATCACCTCCTTGAAGTCCTTGGCCCTCGCCTCCCCCGCATCTGCCACCATCGCCGCCGCCTTCCCTTCGCCCACAGCACCGAGCACCGACGCCCCCGTCTCCAAGAAGCACCAGATGGCGCATGCCGATGCCGCTAACGCCTGGGCCCCCATCTCCATCTTCTCGTCCGCCTTCCCCTCCACGCTCGCATCGACCTTCCCAAACGCCGCGCTCGCCGCGACCTTCCCATACGCCGCGCACATCGACACGCGATTTACCATCGCCGACATGAGAGCGTTCGTCTCTTCCTTGCCTTCCTCCGTGTCCTCGATGATGGGGAACCAGGTCGCCGGCCGGAGCACGTCATGAAGCGCAACACCCGAACTTGCGTACCCACGGTACCTGCCGAGTATATCGTCGAACCTGCCGCGCAAACACATTAAAACGACAGGACTTCAGCGTTTTGACACCAACTTGGTCGACAGAACTCGGCACGTCAGTATCCGTCTTACCTTGCTCTCGGATGGCACAAGCCTCTAGCCCACATCACCGTCCACATCCCAGTGGGCAACAACTTCACCTCCGCCCACACCTCCTTCCATTTATCCAACTCCCCCGGGTTCAAGACGGTGAGCTCCTTCATGAGCACCTTGCTCACGTAGCCGTCGTAGACGACGAACGCAATCGCGTGCTCGTAGGCCAGCTCCATCTTCTCCCTCGACTTGCCGATGTACCGATTCTGTCCGTGTACCTTAATTTCGCCCACCCACCCTTGCCCGTCGCCAGCCTTGTCTCGGCGGATGCCATGACCCCTGCGTCCATGCTCTTTATCTCCCTCGCCGCCCTCCTCGTCCTCCTCCTCCGCCTTCTCCTTCTTCTTCGCCGGCTTACCCTTGCCGCCCGTCTTGTCCTTCTCCCCTTCTGCCTTCTTTCCTTTCTCTTCCGACGTCAACTTCCCCGCAGTCATCGCCCGCGTGCTCCTTTGAGAGACCGCCTTCCCTTTCCCGTTGTCGTCCTTTTCCTTCCGTCCAGCATTTATCTCAGCGACAGCAGCCGTTGCGGCCGTCTGCTCCGTCGAACCCCCTCCGTGGGTCGCCGACGGCACCACATGCGCCGTGTCCATGATGGCCATAACAGGGGCGTGCTCGGGCCGCTTTGCTGCCTCAAAATGGGCCATGACGACAGCGAGGTCGGCATGCTTGTCTGCGCGGCCGCCGGTGGCGAGCGCTGCACTCACTCCCTTCTCCGCCGCCACATCGACCACAGATGCACCTGGTGTGGGTGCGGTCGCGTTTACCGACATCGGCGTCGCGCTTTTGCCGAGTTCCGGCAGGGTCACTGACGGAGCAGTTGCTTTGCGTGCGCCTAAATGGGTGCGAAGAAAATCTGACTTGGGGTCCGCAGGCGGTGGGGCGGCCACCGGAGGCGCGGCAGGTGGGGCACCGGACGACTTGCCGGCAACCTGCGTAGTGACGGAGCGGCGTGCTGTTCCAGGAAGGCCGGCGTCGACCACGGGATGCTGCTGCACGTCCCTGCTATGTGCCTCCATGCGGCGGAGCATCTCTCTGAGCGCGGTACCACCGGGGGGGGCCTTAGCTGATGCCATGGCATCACCCTTAGCCGAAGCAACCTTCGCGACAACCTTGGCGGCAGTCGGGGCTGCTGGAGCTGGAGCAGCCTCGCCATCTTTGTTCGCACCTGACTGGCCGGCAGGCGCGCTTGTAGCCGCAAGGGGGTTACGGGGACTCGACTTGGTGGTGCCGGCAACCGTAGCAGAAGCAGGCTTGGCCGCCGCCGCGACGGGTGGTCCCTTGGTGGTTCCGGAGTCACCATCATTCGCCGCCTGAGCAGTTGGCACCTCCTTGTCGGTAACGCCTTTCCCACCGCTCGCCTGAGGATGGGTCTGCTCGGCGACCAAAGGCGGGCCAGTCGGAGCAGCTAGGTTAGCGGCAACCCCGTCGGCAGGGCCACCCTCTGCTCCCCCGCTTCCGCCTCCCTTGCTGTGCGACGTCCTTACCACCTTCCACCCCGCCTTCGTCTTCAGCTGGTCGACCACGCTTTTTTGCGCAGGCTTCGACCCGAAACTACCGTCCGCTCCCTTGCTCCGCTTCGAGCTCCCCTTGTCGTCTCCGTCGCCGGTCCTCTTATGGCCCTGCTTCTCGGCCGTTTTTCTTTGCGCGTTATCGGCGTCATTGGCCGAAGGCGACGACCCACGTCGACCAGGCGCCACAGTGCCGATCATCTCTGTCATGATCTTCATCCCGGAAGCAACAAAAGACTGCTGGGTGGCCTCCATCACCGCCTTCAGGATGTCGGCCTTGAACGACTTCAAAATCTCTTCTGGGATGGCGGGCGGCGTGGGATGAGGCGGTGGCGGCGGCGGCACGGCGAGCCTGGCGGTCAAAGCGGTGGCGATGTTGACCTGCGCGGAGGCAAGGTGGTTCGAGATGTACTCTTCCAACCCCTTCTTCGCATCGCCCACCACCGAATCCACGTGTTCGGCCAAGGAGGAGACCGCTAACGCTCGTGCATACGCGACACGACCCTCCGGATTGTCGAAGTCCTCCAACCACTCCGTCGCATGTTCCGCGAAAGTCTTCATCGACTTCCACGCTTCGTCAAAGCTGCCGGAGATGTTGCCCGTGATGGTCTTCGACATGGCCTCCGTCGCGTTTCGCAGCTGTTCCGCGGCATACTTGTCGGTGTCGTCGACCTTCTCTGCCAACCCTTTAACGTGGTCGACGAGTCGACTGACCCCAACAAAAAACCTGTCCAGCCGGGACCGCTCCGCATCGAGCAACGACGCCAGCCGAGCGTTCTCCGCCCGCAACAACCAGTTTTCCCGTCGCAGAAGCTCGACGTCGTCCAGTTCTGGGCCCTGCCGACCAGGTGCTTCCCCGGCCTCCTGCTCGCCCGTGTTGTTCGGCCCTTCGCCGGCGTCGACCGACACCTTCCCACCTCCTTCGCAGGCCGCCTCATCCTGGCCATTTCCAGGTGCCTCCACGCCGACCTCGCCCTTCTCCTTCCCCACATCTGCCGACCTCGTAGCATTTCCCGCGCCGTCATCCTTCTCTTCCTCATTCCTCTGATCTGCCGACCCCACCGCCTCTTCCGCCGCTCCCGCCTCAACCGTACCCTCTACATACTCCACCACGAACTCCACCTCTTCATCCCCCCCCTCCTCATCCTTCCCTCCCTCCCACTTCTCACCATTCTCGTCCTTATTCTCCTCCTCCTCCTCCTCATACTCCTCCTCGTCCTTACGCTTCACCGCCTCGTCTTCCTCCTCCGACTCCGACTCCGACTCCGACTCCGACGACGACGACGAATTCTCCGTTTCCGACCTTCCTGCACCTGCCTCTGCGTCGCCTCCTCCACCGTTTCCACCTTCCCCATGCACCCTCGCGTTCCCATGATGCTGGGCGGCAACTGCACCTTGGGGCGCCTTCTGTCCTTCCGCGACGTCGTCATCTATGGCATTGTCGGCGGGTCCGGCGGCTTGAGAAGTCGGCGTCGCGGTGCGTTTTACGACAATGACCTTGCCGACGTACTTAACCATGCTGTCGCGCAAAGCCTTCAGCCCCTTCATCCCGGTGCTCTCGATGCTCACCCCACGACGACCCTTCTCGCCTATCAGATGGTCGATCTGTTTTGCTACCCACCCGAACGACGTCGCGGAAAGCACGCCGGCACCGACATGCCCGTCCGACACTGTGCCCGGCACTTTCTGCATACAAGCACGGAACATGATGAGCGGAGCGTTCAGAAACGGGCACCCCCCCCTTGCGACTTGAATGTGCAACTCACATCGCGGATAGGGTGGTCGCAGTCGGCCAGCCTGACCTCCACCACTGCTTGTGATTGTTATGTGATGCTATCATTTGCATTCACGTCTGTCTGCCTCCCATCATGTGTTCGTGCGTTGCATGTGTGAAATGAGCGTGCGCAAGAATTTGTGTTTTTCTGTGGTTTGGATTTGTGGAAAATAGAACGAGAATGAATGCACTATGAAAGAGTTGGGTACAAATAGCAAAACCCTAATTGGGTTGTACCCCCTATGGGATACCCCACTGTAGCCTACACAACAGCATAAGCTACATATATGTTCTGACACAACCCCATAGGCAAAGTGGGGGAGAGCAAGGGGTCACAAGACCAGTCAAGCAAAGCAAAGCAAAGCTCAG